ATTTTGTGCCTGTATTGAACGGAATAATAGAGGGTGAATTTGTAGTAGTTGTAAATAAAGGAATTAAAGCATCGGTGGTCAATCAAAGAATACTCCTATGCATTCAAACACATGGGAAAGAAGCACCTCTTGCCATTCATTTATTCAAATGTGTTTATTCATAGGTTAAAACGCTAAGTAAATAGTTAGCATTAATTAAAAAGTCTCACTAATACAAATTATTCTTTAGAGATTCTAAAGTACGATTATTACTTTCCAAAATACTGAGATTGTAAAAGCACGTTACGAGGATTCATATCGATCAAACATGCAATATTCGAGCCATTGGGACCAAATTTATTTGAAGTAACAGGAATGAATCGATAGAAAAACTTTTGATGCCTTGATTATTCGATAATTTCACATACTTTTATTCCCTCAAAGTTCTCTTTAGTCATGCGACTCTAAATTCTCACAACTAATGAGAAATTAATATACGTATAAGGTTACTGAATTCCGAACAGTCAAAAATTATTGGTTTGGTTTAGGTAACACTGCCCATTATCGTTTGCGAATCGATTAATTTATCAAGAAGTAAATATTTGAGCAGAAGATCAAATCATATTGAACCACTCAGAGATTAGTATTTGGCATAATGAACATGCGGAACTGGGTGAACTTACAAAACTAACAATTGTTTATTTTCTAGCATTTTCTTATTATATGTTTTTTGTTTATCTCTATTTTCTTTCCCAATCCCGTCCTGTCCTAAACATAGACCATGTCCGGAATTAACATGCTATATATTTTGACAGCCTTTACCAGAAAAAGGCTATACGTTTCAATGTAATTGGTCTGGGGGTAAACTTTATCTCGCATTGGAGAAACGGTCCGGTATTGGTTTGCTTAATTACAATTATTTACATTTTAGGGCTTATAATCTTAACTGTGACTGTAGATAGTCCGAGTATATTTGTTTGCTATCTTGGTGCCTGCGCACTAAAATCACTTGGCACTTTGGAAAATGGATGGCGCGAACATTTTCGAGAAATTTGTGCTTGAAGTTGCATGTGAGTGTGACCAACATACAGATCTTATAAATCAAATTATACATTCTATTACGTTAGCCGTTTTCCTCAAGATGCAATAGGTAAATTCATGATCAACTAAAGGGATGTAGTCACTGAAGAAGTCAGATTGACTTGCTTTGACCTCAATCCATTGACCATTTTATCTGATTTGTTATCATTTTAAAATGAACTTCTTCATTCAGTGTTTTATTCAAATCAAGTTACGTTTTAACAAACGTTTCAGCAAAATAATTGTTGGAAAAAATAAATAATTCTAAGACAGGCTTATCCTATGAAAATATAGTAAAATGACCACATCGCTACAGTACTCGGTATTTGACGACCAATATTAAAAATTACTAGCAAATTTTATTAGCGGAATCACTAATCACTGAAAATTATTTAATTTTTCGGTCGTCAACTTATCAAGATTGTTATTCTGCGTAGAAATTTTGAGTTGACAACATTTTGTTTCTTGTCAGCAAAAGAAGAGGCGATAACTGCAGTGTCACAGGAGATAGCGGCAACAACTGCAGGAGACGAGCTGCTTGTACGCGGTCCGCACCTGTTGCTTCACAGAGACAACCTCACCGTGCCGCTGCTTGTCAACGCCCTAGATCGACAAACTCTCTCTCCTCTAACAGGTCTCACTTTGTCAGATAATATTGCAAGAACTTAATAAGCGTTTAGAAGATTTGTACTAAAATAAATATACTGCGCAAATTGCGAAGCTTGAAATCCATCTCATTTAGTTTATGCGTTTTCCTCAAATAAGCGCTATATCCTTTCAATGAAAACGCACTCCAAAAGCAGTTTGAATTATTCCTTGCGCTTGCAAATTTACTAGAATTTTTTTTTCAAATTCTATTGGCATTAAACCGAACTACGTTTTTGTGAGCTCAAAGCGTTCATTCCCGATTTAGAAAGCGATTTGTGATGCATAGATTATTGTTCACAAAATGTTTATTTGTGATAATATTGCTTTCAAACGTGATCTACAAATGGGAATTACAGCACAAGGTTTAACGACAAACGTTAACTCATGAGATTGCTATGGCATTCCTTTTAAATATCATCATTTTATTATTTCTGGAACGAGGAAATATTCTTTCATATTAGTTCAACAGTTACTTTCTGTACCCGCCAAGGAAGAAATTCTTTTTCTGATCTGTTCGGAAATCATAGAAGAATAAAGGACTGAAAATATTTGTATCCAAACAAGTAACTGTATTATTAGAAAGAAATTGGATAACGATGAAATCGTACGTAAGACTGAAAATATGTGTATCCAAAACAAGTAACTGTATTATTAGAAAGAAATTGGATAACGATGAAATCGTACATAAGAATTCGCTAATATTAATTAAACGTTTGTTTAGAAGGTGTTACTTTTGTACAGATCCCGAACTGAAGGCAAGCGACGAGGATCAGAATGCATTAGAGTCCAGGAAGCTGCCATCCAGTGTCTGGCCACGGAAGATTGGACGAGTGAGCCTCATACCTAAAATCAAAGGTATCTTATACTAGATTTCATAGCAAAGTATTATTATTATCGATCTGGACTTCCATTTTGGCAGCATGTAGTCCGTGCTTAATTATTTCTGAAATTATCATGTTCCTAAGTTGTTCGATGTTGAAACCATGACAGTGATCATATAGCAAAGAATTTGCCACATGACATACTCGCAGATACAATAAGTAAATAAAGAACTTTTAATGATATTAATCTATTTGTAATATCAATTAAATATTTTTACGATGATAGTACTGTTTTAATTAGATTTAATTGACGTAGGAGCATCTGTCACTTAACACACAGATAACTAGAAAAAGTTTTACTGCTATACTTAATATTTCTCCGTACGTGTTCCAGTGAAATTATTTTTTAATATTCATGCCTGGACCAGGTTTGATCAGTTTGATACATTAGTGATTATGCATTCCGCGAACAGCATTAGGCTCACATTAGAGTATCGGGCTATCTTGATATAACATCCTTTATTTCACGACTTGACTCTCTTTTACTTACCTGACTCGCGTTTAAATATTCTGAACATTTCCTTGATTAAGTGTGATCCACTTTAATAAATTTTGGTTGAAAAAATTTGCTCTGTTTTGCGCAGGGTCATTATGATATAATATGACAATTCTATTTTTTACAGAGTCCATCGACACATCATCGAACTCCAAAAATACGCCATCATCACAAATACTCTTAGCAATGATTGTCTTAGCAAACTTTCTGTCAATTGTTGCATGATTGTGAAAATCATTTTGTACGCTGCGTGAATAGTAGTAGAGGACGATAAAATAGTAGTAGAGGACGATAAAATGTAGGGCTTGACGTTAAGCTATTAGTTCATTTTAAGTTTAGCTCGCTTAAAAATAAGTTATTCTACATATATTCAAGTTTACATATCTAAATTTTTTTATGCAAAAAATAAGCATAAAGTGCCATGCACCCGTATAATTTTTTTGTGATATCTATATCTCCCATGAACAATGGAAGTGAACTTATAGAGAGCAAATTTTCATGTACATGGAAAATATTACTGGTGGTACATGTAAATTAGAAGTGTAAAGTTGGGGAAATATAAGAGAAAAAGGTTCAAAAGGCGTAGCTGCTGCTGCACAGAATTCAACAGTACACATCAAAGGAAACTTTGCATATCAATTATGACATATGCTAGAGTTCAGGAGAGTTTATTGTAAAATCAAAGAAGACGTGAATTTCGAATACGTACGATTTCCTTGCATATCATATTGCAACTCCTCAAGTGTAATGACGAATCGCACAATGAAATTAATATTTTTATTGTGGCAGTTCCCAGGAGCTCTGAGCTGGGAGATAAGTTGTGGCAACTCCGAGGAGCTCTGAGCTGGGAGATAAGTTGTGGCAACTCCGAGGAACTCTGAGCTGGGAGATAAGTTGTGGCAGTTCCCAGGAGCTCTGAGCTGGGAAGCAAGTTGTTGCATTTCCCAGAAGCTCCGAGCAGTGAAGCAAATTCTCATAATCTAGATATTTCAGTTTCTCGAATATTCACTATTTTGAAGCAAATCAAAGATTTTGTACACGTTTGTATGTGATTTGTATGTTTGTATAGATGCTTAAACTGTGCCGATGTTGCTCGATGTATCTATTTGTTTCTGCTTTGTGAGCTGCAATGTAATATCTATAGGTTATGAAGAGCTTATTTACAGTTTTAATAAGTAATAAGTTTATAATTTATTATCGTGAGGACCAGCTGATTTACTATGTATTAGTCCTTCTATGCGATCGAAGGCTTCGCAATCTGTTTTGATAATAGATTATACAAGATTATAGATTCAACAGAACTGATTAAAACAGAACAGATTCAAGTGTAGTTTCTGAACGCTCGTCATTAGAAACATTTTGTTTTGTTCTCATATATTACCTAAATGTCTTTTCCTGGATCCTGGAAAGTATTCACGTAGCTGTGTATTATAAGAGTTATCTACGTATGTCAATGCAGTAATGTCGGTTGCTTTCAGTCATGTATACATATTTAACTGCATGGGAAATATTAGGGTTGTTATTTGTTATTGAATGTTGTTTATGCAGATCAAACGTGTGACACTAAACACTATAATCATTTTTATAGCTTCCTGCTGCTTATTGTATGTTATTTTTTCATGTATTTAAAATCAAAACGGTGTACGCCTGAACTTTTTTTCGTGTATTTTCAATTAAAACGGTGTACGACTGAAATCGAAGTGTCGTTAATATCCAATTGATATTTTACTCTAAATTTGGCAGCCAAAAGTGTTGACAAATACATCCCATTCCCTGTCTTCACATTCTGATGTTTATTCAAAATATTCAACAAGAAAACATTATTTTCCACGATTTTAGTTTAAGGTACTTCTTCACCCGAGGCAGGGTGAAGCTATTTTTTTTCAGCTAGAAAAAAATAATGTAGAAAATTTACCTGCATTATTTGATCACATTAATCTGGTCTAAAAAACTGACGTTGAATTATGCGGAAAGTCACGGATTATATAGGGTAAAAATGCATATTATTACCTCCAGGAACTTAATAATTACTGCATAAATACAGGAGATTTGGTTACAAGGCAACAGTCGACTGTTGTTATCAGTTATCATGTATACACGATAACGAAAGGAAAAGCATCGGCTCGTACTGTTGTCGCTTTCATGTGCCAGGTGGAGATATTCCAACAGATAATAGCTAATTGTTATGAACACTTACCGCCTGATGTTTGTTACTGCCCGGGCCGATACTTCACATGTGATTTTGTTACCAACGATTAGAAAGATGAGACTGGCTATATGCGTCACTAGGCGAACACGCGAGAGGAAAAATTTTAATTCTGTTAATTCTAATATTCTAAAATTCGTTGTGAAGAAATGAAGAAATAAAGCAGACATAGAACACGCATATTTTTATAACGTTTCTTAAATTTTTCATTGGTTAACGATTACCATTAAGACTTTTTTGATGGCATCAAAATATTGAGAAAGGCGCAAGACCCATCAATGTAATTCCATGTAAACTATCTCATATATACTTCATCAATGATCACAACAGTCACCGTGTGGAAGTCTGCAGTCTAGTTTAGAGTGTTTATCGCAGTTATTTATCATAACTGCAAGTAATCAAGACCATTAAGTGAGTAATTGGCTTACAGAAATTAAAACTGATTAATTATAACATTATTTTGAGTAAAAATAAGGCAATATTTATAGTGTCGGTCAAAAGAGAACAGCAGACGTATTAAACAAACAGTTTTTGATTTGACGATGAAAGACTTTCAGCCTGCATACTATTGCATAGTTATTTTATATCCGGTACTTCGTTATAATATTCCAATGCAATCACGATTATCCAGTGTACACGATAGTTCCAATTTTTTCACATTCTGATTAAAAACTTTCCTCAACTGGAATCAGACCTTGAGACTTAGACCACTGAATATTATAAATGTTGGGATAGAATTGAATGTGATAGAATATTTTATGTGAGCTTCAAAATTATCAGTATTCTGTATTATGGTAATTGTATCGGTCTTGGATACAACTGCATTATTAGAAGATTAATAACTGCATTATTAAAAGAATAATGTGACGACTAACAGGGACAGCAGGACATGACAGCAAGTACAGTACAGAGGCTATACCCTCACACGCCCACAACTGCGCAGGCGTCCTGCGCCAGCGTGTAGAGTTGCTGTACGCCACGCTATAATATTATCAGTTATATACTAAATTATAGACCAAAATAGCTGTCAAGATCTTGGTACTTTCTTACATTTGGTCTTCTCCACTGATACGACAGGAAATTTTACAGCTTTATTCTGCGCATAATTCCAGATACACAATAATTTATCGAAATGGAGAACATGTAGGCTAGAAACATCAGGGAAGGGTTACACATTTGATGAGGTTAACAAAATGACTCGTTGGATCAATGAATTTCTTGCTGAAATCTGGGGAGCTCTCCCTCATAATCCTTACGACACCTCACATCGAACAATATTCATTTTTATTTGCTATTATTTGCGACAGCAGCATGCACTCTGTTGAGCATCAGCCGCTGCTTGCAACATCGAGATTTTAATTGCCACTCTTCACAACCAGACAAGCCAACAATATAAACAAAATTGTACCAGCCTCGAAGGAATCACACTGAATTAAAGTACTCAATATTACGTGGAAGGTAATTTGATTTTTGGTCCGGCTAAATGATTATCAGCATTTTGTATCGAATCTAGTACGGAATCCGCGGCGCGTGAATCTCGCCTCCTCGCCCGGCTCGACAGAGCAGCACGTCAGTTCGTTGTCAGCCTTCAGACGAGTCGGTGGCGACAAATGTGGCTGTTAGGTTGTCTTTTTACCTTGTGTTATCACTCATAAACCTGCAAATTATAGTCGAAATTTAGAGGCTAAAGTTATATTTGCGGAAAGTATTATAGACCCTGTTCAAAGTTTCTTTCTGAGCAACTGGATTCACATTGTGTCGTGTAGTTGTATGTTGAATTTTTCGTCAAACATAAAATTTCCTATCGTATAGTACAATATTAAAAGAGTGCGGAACTCAGATGGATACTCCTAGAGCTAAATAATTTTATTTCCCGGCAATATTATTAACTATGATTATTGGTTACTACAAGCAATTTTGCTTAATTTTAATAATTTATATTTTCAATAATTTCACAATCAAGACAACATTATTATGCCGAAATTGTTTCCTACGCTCGTCTTAAATAAACGCGATGAACGTACGATGTTTTAATTATAAACAAAGTCAATGTTAATAGAACTATTATTCATCCTACCAAGAAATAATGGGCCACATCATATTATTTACTTATACTGATTACTGACACCTGACAGTGGGGGCTTGTCTTAAGATATTTTGTAACAAATTGTGCACAAATGCGTTTCGTTGCAGGCTTTTATTGCCAGTAAAAATATAATCTCAACAATATCAAGTCAACATGTCGCTGAGACCAGCTCTGTTGCTGGTGCTCTTGGCAGCAGCAAGTTGGAGCAATCCGGTGAGTCTGAATATTTTTTCATTAAGTAAGTTATGATGAAGAAAATATTTAATGAAAATTATATTATATGTTTTCTTGAAAATTGAAATTGACATTATATAATTTAGTTTTTTATGTAAATTTTTGATTCGGTGGGACCTGGTAAACATCAAAAAACATCATTTATTACTTCGCTCAACCTAGCAACTCGTTGAAGTAGAATCATTGTGGAATATCTAATTTCTATTAAGTGATGATAAATATTACATTAAATAATAAGAACCAGTAAATGGCTGAATACTCGGAGGTTGTGAAGATGTTGCCAATAATAATAATAATAATAATAAGTCCATATTAAGAAATAAAATTCCTTGTCAATGGAATCAATAAGAATTTCGATATTCATAACAAAACGAAATTGAAAATGAGCATCAAGTTCATTCATAATAATATTTGTTACGAGTTTATGTATCTAACTGAATAAATGAATATATATTCATTCATTGATAAATTCGAAATCAATATTATATATTTTGTTCTAATGAACATTTTCGTTATTTGTAGGCGTGTCCGACATTTGACCCAGACTTGGTAACCGTGCATCTCGTGTGTCATACGCACGATGACGTGGGCTGGCTTAAAACAGTCGACCAATACTTCTATGGCGGTGAGAATTCAACATCTTTTAAGTAGAGTTCGTTCATTTATTATCATTTTTGTTCCAGCAGAATGCCATAATTCTTTAGGTATATAAGAGCACAACTAAATCATGCGTGATGGCAGTGAGCAAAGAATATTCATTTTCATATGAGTATGTACAACTTGCTATAGGTTGAGAAGAATTAAGATGGGATTTTCAATGTGATAATAATAAATTTCCATTAATTTGTGAAAATTTTTAATTTGATGATATTGAATTTCTATTCACCCATATGTTCAATTTCCGCATTTGCAGCAAACAATTCAATTCAGCGCGCTGGAGTGCAGTACACCATAGACTCGGTTGTCAACGAGCTCGGCAAGAACGCAACCCGCAAGTTCAGCTACGTCGAGATGGCATTTTTCACCCGCTGGTGGCATCAGCAGAACGATGAAGTCAAGGACCAAGTCAAGGTGAAAAATATAATTACGAAGAGCGGCAATTAATAAATTGAAGTTAAAGCAATATTGCTATTTCTAATTTCCTAATCTCAATTATTTCGAGGCGACACCTTTTCCCCTTCAGATAGCGAATAAAAATGTAGATGCAAAATCTTGATAATGGGAACATGAACCTTCGTAGCTTCATTAACAACGAATGACTGAGTTTTCCAAGTATAATGTCAACGAAGATAGCCAGTGGTAAATAATGATTAACTATCTCACAAAGTCCTGAGTTACCAGTCATAAGTGACATCGTAAGTTAACTGAATATACATTCAACTAGTTTCAAACTATAGCTAATTTTTCTGATATCTGGTGTATTTTAAACGAGTCGTCATCTCGGATAAATTAACAATTAATGTTATGTCATCCATGTTAATGGTGGATTAAGTGCCATTTTGCTCTATCAATTAATAATAATAATCAGGATAATAATCTTATTATCTATAGGTATTATTGTCAATGATGTAGTGATCATTCTCTCTTACATACCATACACGTAATTTTACCCAAATCAATTTGACAAATTTTTTGTCGATGTCGCAGGCTTTGGTGGCGAGCGGTCAACTTGAGCTCCTCAACGGTGGCTGGAGCATGAACGACGAGGCGGCCGCTCACTACACGGCCATCGTAGATCAGATGACCTTAGGACTTGTGTATGTGCAGTACTAGAAATTTAATTAATATGTAATGTATAAGCAAATATTTATAATATAAATCAAATAATATTTGCATAAAAGATTACATTCACGATTTGATGTCGGGATTAGATTGGATGGGTGAAAGAAAATTAAATTGTGTGAAAGAAAAAAGAAAAAAAATTAAATTGTGGTGTCTGGTTGGTTGTTGGACTTTCAACTACATGCTTATTGTGTTAAGGTAAGTAATCAAATGGCGCAGAATTCATCTTGAGCAAAAATGATCGATTATATTACCATTGCTGTTTAATTTTCACACCGTACTGTTAAATTTATTACAAACTCATAGATAATTTTTTTTGTGCAGTTTCATCAACCAAACTTTTGGGCCAAATGCTAGGCCACGAGTGGCTTGGCAAATTGATCCTTTTGGACACTCGAATGAACAAGTATGACTTCTTATTACACTAGAACAGAACCATTTGATAAATAATTCTGTAAGAAAATTGTAAATATATCATTAATATATACTGCAGAACAAATTTAGTACTAAAGTTAGGTTTTATGTCACTTTGGACTGGCTTACTAAACATAATTCTTTACGCTCTAAATTATTATCATAAGTTTGGCGGTTGTTATGAATGTCATGAATGCAAACTGTGTTCAATTTGAAACATTGACTTGGAGATTCTATGAAATTGTCCTAATATATAATTCAGTTGAACTTTTTATCTGAGGTATGGGGAGGAGGTAGGAACATTTCAGTCATTGGTTCACTCGTAGTTTCTTCACAGTTTTGATTTGCAATTATTAGCGGAAATGATTTAATTGTTCCCGAATAATAGGCCAGCCTTTTCGCGCAAATGGGATTCGACGGACTCTTCTTTGCTCGCGTCGACTACCACGACAAGGATAAGCGATGGACGTCGAAGAACATGGAGATGGTGTGGCAGCCTAGCCAAAGTCTGGGTGGGTAACACTTTTATACCTGGCTCTAAAGTTGAAGTTGATTAAGTTAACAGTCAAAAATTTCAAGTGTGTAATAAATAAACCCTTAAAAATAAAAACAAAACCTATGGAATATTACACATTCGATTTATGTTGATATAAAAGTAAAGAAAACGATAGGAAAAGATAAAATAATCAATAGTCTTCCAATCTTAATAATATTCAATGAATAGCTAGAGAAAATAAGAAAAATCGACTATTCACTGTACTGGTGATGATTTTTTTTGCATGTAAAAAATTACCGAACTTTACTCGTTATGAAATCATCGATTTTCGTTGGCAAAAGGATGAAAAAAATATTCTACGGGATTGGGCCTTATACCAAACAATAGACACTAATGCTTGTTGAGTAGCGATAATAGAAAAGCTATTATAAAAGTACGCCTCGACAGCAAATGCACGCTGCTCACTTGTCCAATGCCTAGAGGCAATTGACTAGACGGCACACAAAACTTCATAACCTTGCACTTCATTTGAAATAATTTCTGACCCTTTTCTACATCTGGCTGCTTGGCACAAAATACGAAACAGGAAATTTCCGTGAATTACCTTGTACGTGTAGACTCTAGACTTTCACTTTCGCAGGCGAGGCTGCGTGGCTGTTTACGGGTGTGCTGCCTAATCATTACGAGCCTCCAAGTGGGTTCTGCTTCGATGATCTGTGCAGCGATCCTCCCATCATGGATGATCCTATGCTAGAAGATTATAACGTCGATTCGCGGGTAAGAAATTTTTTGAATTATGCAGTAGTGTTAAAGACCAATTGAGTATAACTGACTTCAGTTATGAGATGTTGGTGAAGGTAATTGAAAAAATTGCGCTTTTATCTTAAAATAAATTGCAATTGAAAATAAAATATATTTGTTACTTAATTGTCTTTAATAATGTGTTTAGGTGTGCCAGTTCGTATGGAGTCTGAGGGCTTCATACAAAGCATATAAAACTGAGTTCAAATACAGTTTGTTCCTAAAACGGTAGAGACTTTCGTCGCAATTTACACTCCATAAAAATTGTTGAGCATAAACAACTCGAAACCTTCATTTTAAGAAAATTACTTTCCACACTTTTCTATTTTGAACATGAAGAGTTTAGCTTACATTTTTAAATGAATACCGCTATCAAATTTGAATCAGATCTCTACTGGATTAGCTAAATTAAAAAAATCAGAATTCCGGCACTGTGATATCTGTTTATTTTCTTCAATTGTTTGTTTGTTGTGTGCCGAGAAATTGATGTTACAATAATAATTTTAATTTATTTTACATAACAAATTAGTGATTCATTCTGAGTTTCGAATTACTGTAATTTTTCATTTCAGGTCTTGGAATTTTTGGATGCAGTAAGTGCTCAGGCTGAAGCTTTCCGCACCAACCAGCTAATCATGACCATGGGGAGTGACTTCCAGTACCAGAATGCCGCCACTTGGTACAAAAACCTCGACAAACTCATCAAGTGAGTAAATTTTTTCCCCTTAAGACCAGAAGAAAATGCTTTTATTCCTTAATTACGCCTGAAAAACTTTTATTCTACATTTGGATCTCTGATATTATAATTTTTTTAATGCTTCTCTGTAGTTGAGACAAAAAGTATTTTCATGCATTCTAAGAACTTCCAAAACGACAACGGTGCATGAAAGTTCCACACCCGTAAGTTGGTCTGGTTGTTTTTCGAAATCTAAGAGACACCGCATCCTGTTGAAATGATTATTTCGTTAACAATTTTCGCTTTGCAGGTACGTTAACGCTAGACAAGAGGCAGGTTCCAAGGTACGTGTGACATACTCCACGCCTTCGTGCTACGTCGACGCTCTTCATGCGTCTCAGATCAGCTGGGGAACAAAGCAAGACGATTTCTTCCCATACGCCTCTGACCCCCACGCCTACTGGACGGGGTACTTCACTTCCAGACCGACTTTCAAAGGAATGATCAGGAAGGCCAACGGCTTCCATCAGGTTCGGCAGAATTTCTATAACTGTTCACACGACTAAAATTAAGCAGACATGTAAATGAAGGGTCCATTAAATTTTAATGATTAAAATTTTTCCATCACAGGCAAATCTGTGAAGCTAAGGAGAGCCCATCAAATCACCCATTAATTGGAGTGGAGAGCAAATTTATTCCCCTAATTTTACCGGCTTATTCCAAGACGGTGCCAAACGTGTAACGCAAAAACTCGCAAGATGGCTCCTTAATTAGATTTTCTTCCGAACTCGCTTTCTCAAAAGTTGCCTCAGCGATAATTTTGGTATTTCAGGGCTATAAACAGCTATTACTTCTCGCTAAGTATTAAAGGATATCACTGTCATATCCTTGCAGCCGCAGGTGCCTCACTTAATTTCCGTGAGATGCTAAGTAATCTTGATTTCATGCCACTGGAATCAGAAGCATAACGCTACTATCGCTAGGTGCTAAATGAGAATAATTATCTCTTTGTAGGCGCTGACTCGTGCAATTCGCAAGACGTTCTTGATGTGAAGACATGTCACATATCTCATTGTAAACGCAGAAATCTCATGCAATTCTCATAACGTGCTAAACGAGAAGACTTTTCTCAATGTAGGCGTAGAAGACTCGTGCAATTTCCATGACGTGCTTAACAAGAAGACTCATGTTATTGTAAGCGCAGAAGACTCATGTAATTCCAATGATGTTTCTCAACTAGAAGACTCTTCTTATTGAAGGATCATGAAGAATTAAAACTCTTGTAATTCCCATGACGTTCTTAATGACAATATTTATCTCACTGTAGGCGCAGAAGCAGCTGCTGGCAGTGACAGGGTCTGGCAGGACGTCGGGTCTGGAGAGGATGGCAGCGACGCTGGGAGTGACGCAGCATCACGACGCTGTCACTGGCACGGCCAAGCAGCACGTCACCGACGACTACTACAAGAGGCTCGACGTCGCGCTGCAGGCCAGCCAAGACGAACTCGTCCCGGTTATCAGGTCTGTTTAATGGGTAAAAATCTATTTAAAGAGTAAATATCTTATGTGTCAGCCATTTTCATTTTATAGGGAATATTTATTGACCCATTTAAACTGTAAGATGCATGAGCGATGATGAAATCTGGATGTAATTTAGTCATGTTTATGATATTCTTCGTTCGTCAATTATTGTTACTAGAAAGAAAATTTATGTGATAAATCGAAAAAAGTTTTAAATTATATCCCGTATTCTATAACTAAGCCATTGCACGTGTGGCGATAATAATTTCGATTTTTCACATCTTAAATGTTATGCTTTCAAAATTGGTGTATTCCAGAGATTTGGAATTCCTATATTAATTAGAATCCTGAATTCGCTTCAAACTTGTTATATGCTTATATAGAGTTACCAATGAATTAATTATGCAGTTATGATGATTAAATGATAACTCCTTTCATCTCAGAAAGCTGTCAACTGGTGGGTTTGGATCTGCCGGCGCGAAGGCAGCAGGCGCGGTATCGTTCTGTCCGCAACTCAACATTTCATCGTGCGAGTTAACGGAAACTTCAGAAAACTTCCAAGTGGTCGTCTACAACAGCATCGCCAGACCCATCGACACGCCCGTGCGGATTCCTGTGCCTGATTTTGCTTATAAAGTCACCGACTATCAGGGTGCGTGTTGTGTAGTGAGGCATTTTTAGCGCATTTTCTCATTTATGGGTAAAATGCACTATTGGGCTCGCCATTTCCGTCTGTCCGTCCGTTTGTGCATCCGTGACTTCGCGTTTTCTTCGACGTGAAAATGCGCTCTCTGTCACTCACTGCAGTGAGTACTGAGTTATATTTTTTTATTACAGAGTTTTTCTGCTCATGGAATGAACTTGATATAGTTTATTGATTCTTCAGCTAAGTACCTTTGAGAGTTTTCATGAAAATGTTTTACAACTCCTATATATTTTTCAAAATAATTGAATTGATAATTTCAATAATCAAATTCGCGACTCAAAAAGTCTAAAATAACATATTATGGTGTGTAATTGAATTTTAAATTTCCTAGTAAATTTCAGGAAAACTCAAATACGTGTTTTGACTGCATCATTTTAAGCAGAAACAAGCAACAACAGCATCAGAAGAAATGAGAAATAATCATAAACCCGCAATAGTTTTTAAGTTCTATATCTTGTTTTGAAGTTCTGTCATACGCGAAGTTGTCAAAAATATTTTGAAATTATCTTCTGGCTGCTTCATCAATAATATTCATATCTTCGTTAACAGCATCGCCTCACAACTTGCCTAACAAAATTCGGGGGGACGCTTCAGCCTCCGCCCCTGAGTTGCTATGCTCGCGTTAAAGTTGTTCCGTGCCTGTACCAGACGCAATTCATGCTATTTTGCATGAATTTATCACTTCGTCATCTCAGGGAACTGCATCATCTCGCAACTGGTGCTGTTACCTAACGTCATTCAGGCCATCCCGCAGGTATTTATCTCTTCATTATCTCAGGTAATGGCATCATCTCGCAGCTGGTGCCGGTACCTGACGCCATTCAGGCGATCCCGTACCGCACGTCAGCGGCGGTGTTCGAGTTGGTGTTCATGGCGCAGGCGGTGCCGCCGCTGGGGTCCACCACCTACCAAGTCACCAGGACCGCCGCCCGAGGAGTCTACGAGTCACAAAAGTCTATGAGGAGGAAGATAACAGAGGGAAATGATGGCTTTATCTCGCAAGGGGTATGCATTAATCGTTAAACACTAGTATTTTTTCAACGGAAAGAATAAAGTAAAATTTTTATCAAGGAATTTAAAAGCAAAGAAAACACCAAGCAAATTCACCACATCGATATTGAAAATTGTTATCACTTCATCGTCGATTTATGGCGCTCGATAATGCAACGTGTTAATCTTGAATCACAGTATATAAATATTATCAAGATTTATAAAGTGTTGTAGTGATTGAAAATATGATTTTATTTCATTAGAGCATGATTTTTTCCAACCTAACCATCAAAGTTTACTAATTATCAAGTTTAATTGCATAATTTCACTTATAAAACCGTTCAAACCAAATTATTGTCTGTGATCAGCGCGTATCTGTGCGAGTGGACGGCAGCACAGGATCGCTAAGCGGGATCCTTTACGCGACCAAATATGGCGTCAAGGAGATAACGGTACTTATAAGTGTATTTTTTGTTTACACTTGCAACTTCTCCGTTATATCTTACATATTATAATCGATAAAAACTTGCTTGAAACAATCATCAAATATTCTTACTGTATTTTTGCCGGTTAATAATTTATGAAAATATTCTCACTTTTCTTTAACAGGTCACCGGGGAGAAACTTTTCTACCACGGCACGAGTGGCGACAACAGTGAATTTGACCTTCGCGCTTCTGGGGCTTATATATTCAGACCGAACGGCACAGATGCTTTCCCAGTACAGGCTTCCAACACAGTCCAGTTTGAAGGTGAGTATGAGATATCTTTGCTTTGAAAACTTTAATTTAAATCTCATCATCATTCATTGTTGCAGATGTAAAGGAGCTTTTCGGTAGATTAATTGTTAAATTAACTTTGTGCTATTGATCTTTAAATCATTCCGGACAATTTTGTGCTATACCACGCATCCAAAAAATGTTTAATGTAACGACTGAACCGTGGTTCACTCGTTACTAACTAAATAAGTAACTCGAAATAACTAGATGAGTTGACATGTTATTCGAATTCAACATTTTTTATCTATGCATTCATTTAAAATTTTTAGGCGAGGTTGTGAGTGAAATACACGTGGAGTACGGGTCTTGGGTGTCGGAAGTGATAAGGACCTACAAAGGCTTCCCGCAAGTCGAGACTGAGTGGCTCGTTGGACCCATCTCCTTATCGTGAGTGGCTAAATTTTTATTAAATTCTTTAGTTTTCTCAATCCATTGACCAATGCTGACGGCGTCAGTAGGATTGACGGCTGACGGCGTCAATGCTGACGGCTGGCATTAAAATAAATCATATAGACGAGAATGAAGAGATTGAACTCGAGTCTACTCATTTAGGTATCAAAAGATATATTTATTTTAAAAATTGAGTGATTGCATGTATCTCCAACTTATAATGTATTCAAAAGAGATTTTTTTAACTTCAAGTAGTATGATACAAATGTTACAAAATTAAATTTCTGACATAAAGTTATTGGAATATCTTAAAATGGAACATCATTTTTTTCACGAGAGATATTCGATTTATTATACAATGAATTTTTACAGAGACGGCTTCGGAAAGGAGGTAATCACCCGCTACACCGTTGAAGGCATGGCCACCAACAACACATTTTATACAGACGCCAACGGCCGGGAAATGCAAAAGCGTAAGTAAATATTTTCTGTACTGCCTTAAATTCTGAAATTAATTACTATAATTGAATTGAATCATCATGCTGTTGTATGACTGGGATTCACCAATGAAAGAGACAACTGGATAGAGTATCTTACAAAAGAGATGTCTTCTTTGTTCTAGACGAAGAGTAACCGAGATGAAAGATATTGGAAAATAATTATAAGAAAAATTTCTCTAGTTTCGAATCTTGATCTATACTCAACCGAACCCTTTGCGCTTCTCATCCTACAAATCATATTCTCAATAATCCTCGTGAAATATTGAAAGTTATACCCATGATGGAGCGCACATTTGTTTTATGTTCTGATATTTCCCCATGGGAAATTTGAATTCCATAGTAAATGCAATTTTTGATAAACAAAATTATTCTCGATGAAGAATTTTTAGTTTTGTCACAACATAACAAAGTATATGCGAGGCAGAAAGACTTCAAAAAATTATTTATTAGTTAAACAAAACCACCTTGGAATTCTTTGGTAGTAGAAATACGTCGATTTCTTCATGAACAAAAGGTATTTGCGACGGTTCCAATGAATCTTACTTAATAATCCAGAAGACCAACATTAGGGTTATACAATAAAATCTTAGGAGATTTTGGAAATAATATTTTGATCTTTGTTATCAGGAACGAAAGATTACCGCGCGACATGGGAACAAGAAATCACAGAGCCTGTGTCGTGGAACTACTACCCTGTGACGGCTCGCCTCCTGCTGCAGTCCAGCAATGACATGGGCAAATTTGTGGTGCTTACCGACCGAGCCCAGGTAAATAATGAATTATGGGGATCACGAATATCATTGGGTGGAATAGTGAAGCATATTATTAATAATTAGACGGCATTAGACATTGATCAGTACGTCATTTCAGTGATTAATATGCAACCAGGATTGAAAACTACTTGCATGGGTATTCGGCAAAGCAGAAAATATTCACGATATGTCCGTAGTAGTTAATTTTTTGATTGCGAATGGGTGTAAATTATCGCATATCGTCATTTTACAAATAACTTTGCTAATGTTGCATAGGGTGGGACGTCTCTATCTGACGGTCAAGTGGAGCTTATGGTTCATCGTCGCCTGTTCTTCGACGATGCTTTTGGCGTCGGAGAAGCTCTCGATGAGATGGCCTACGGCAGAGGACTTATAGCTAGAGGCGTCCACTGGCTCCTTCACAGGTACTCTTCATTCTTCAGTTGATATCCACAATTTAGTTAACAGAGAACTTTTCGTATTATTGTCATTAATGGTGCTACATAGACTACAATAATGATTATTGAGCGCTTCTAACGATACGATAAATGTTATTGAAGTTAAATTGAAGAGGCAAAAGCTAATAATCCTACAGGATTATTCTCCTCGTGGGACCAAGTCTGCCAGAAGATGTTGAAAAGATGCGTTTCTAAATTAAAAACAGTGGCAGATATGATATTATTTAAACAACATAAATTTCGTGGGGATCTAATTATTGGCTTTATTTGACGGCATTAATCCCCTAATAATAAGCCGAAATCCAGTTGAAAGCTATTAATGGGAAGTATATCGTCGTAAAACGAAACACTGTTCTTGTCATAGAACGATCACAGTCTTATCATTATGCTGATTGATTTGATGCACAGTGATGCCGCGACTGCGGATTGCGACTTTGCTTGTCTGCATCGGCGTCTGGGAGAAGAGCTATTCATGAGGCCGCTGATAATGTTCCAGGACGGCACAGACCCAATGCCAGCTCCGGTAAGCCCTTCAGATTTATAATATTACCCGCTACCTAAATAGTTTAGGTTTGTTTATGTAGAAACTGTGCCAGTACGTGGTAGCTAACTTATTTCATCTCAGAATTTATATATTTCGTTCTATATTTTTACATACTTCATTCTCCAATTCCCTCTTCTGTAATAGTTAGTAACTTCTATGTACTCATTTATATCAGACGCTTATCATCACGTCAAATGTGAGTTCCGCTCACTGTGCATTTCTTAATAAGGTTTTGATTCTTTTTGCCAGGTGTCGAACTTGAAGAGCCCCTTACCCGAGCAAGTGCATCTGATGACATTAGAACCATGGCTTTCCAGTGGACAGTTCTTACTGAGACTGGAGCACATGTTTGAGGCCGGCGAGAGCGCCAATTTTAGTGTACCTGTTACTGTCGACTTACAGGCAAGTAACTGTTATAAACGTCCTCATTCTTAATCTTATCCAAAACGATGAATATTGTGGCAGTTTTAAAACCGGGAGATCTAAATTTCAATGTAAACCATCATTAAAAATGAAGAGGAATTCTTTCTGTTTAAATCACTGTAGTGATAAATTTCATACTAATCTTGCCCTAAACTGTTCAAATATTGAGATTTTGCAAATTTAAATTAAATGATCCTTGTTCGTGATATTTAGAGTTAAGTTACGTTTTTGATAATTTATAAGGATTTTCATCATTGCTGCAAAACGTGATGCTATCGTTAACGACAATGTATGCCGATCACGTTGTGAGCAGATTCAGTTTGTAATCCCTCATTGATATGCACTAAACTACTATGCAGCTATCGTGAACACTGACACTTTTAGCATTCTATGCATATAATTCCTGAACTTCGTAGGCTATCGTTCTTTAAGATAATTTTTATTATTCGTTTGCACAGAACCTGCTGACTAAGTACACAATAACGGACGCCCAAGAGACGGTGTTGTCAGCCAACCAGTGGGCAGCGGATAGCACTCGACTTCAATGGCAAGTTGAGGGACAGGAATTCGCTGAACAACTTGTTCAGTTGGAAGAGGAAACTGAAAACAATTGGCTCTATGGTCGAGCTAAGGTCTTGGCTGAAATTTTCAGCCATTTCAGTGAAAATACGTACACTTCCCCGAGATTTGGCCAACCCAAACGACCCAAGGCCGATTTAAGCGTGACCCTTCAGCCGATGCAAATTCGCACTTTTGTTATTACTGTTCAAACTGCAACTTAATTTACGTACTAATTAGATAATAAATGTGATTCTGTTATAAACGTCATCATGCTGAATCTTATCCAAAACGATGAATATTGTGGCAGTTTTAAAACCGGGAGATCTAAATTTCAATGTAAACCATCATTAAAAATGAAGAGGAATTCTTTCTGTTTAAATCACTGTAGTGATAAATTTCATACTAATCTTGCCCTAAACTGTTCAAATATTGAGATTTTGCAAATTTAAATTAAATGATCCTTGTTCGTGATATTTAGAGTTAAGTTACGTTTTTGATAATTTATAAGGATTTTCATCATTGCTGCAAAACGTGATGCTATCGTTAACGACAATGTATGCCGATCACGTTGTGAGCAGATTCAGTTTGTAATCCCTCATTGATATGCACTAAACTACTATGCAGCTATCGTGAACACTGACACTTTTAGCATTCTATGCATATAATTCCTGAACTTCGTAGGCTATCGTTCTTTAAGATAATTTTTATTATTCGTTTGCACAGAACCTGCTGACTAAGTACACAATAACGGACGCCCAAGAGACGGTGTTGTCAGCCAATCAATGGGCAGCGGATAGCACTCGACTTCAATGGCAAGTTGAGGGACAGGAATTCGCTGAACAACTTGTTCAGTTGGAAGAGGAAACTGAAAACAATTGGCTCTATGGTCGAGCTAAGGTCTTGGCTGAAATTTTCAGCCATTTCAGTGAAAATACGTACACTTCCCCGAGATTTGGCCAACCCAAACGACCCAAGGCCGATTTAAGCGTGACCCTTCAGCCGATGCAAATTCGCACTTTTGTTATTACTGTTCAAACTGCAACTTAATTTACGTACTAATTAGATAATAAATGTGATGAAGAAAATGCACAAATTTAACTGGCTAGAAGAAAATCAGTGTGATAAGGTAATATTTAGTAAAGGTTGAAATCATATATTGAAATGGATCATTATTGCTTAGTGATAAAAAGTATCACATGAGTAATTGATATTATTAATTAATGATTATGATTGATATTAATTAATAATATTAATTAAATAATTAATATTGTTAATTAATTAATTCAATATTATTAATTAATAATAATAAATAGTATTGAATAGAATTATTAATATTTCGGAAATTCGTAAATATAATTATTGTAAATTAACTAATACTTGACTGAAGTTATTGGAATGTCCAAACGTCGCTGTGTCTATTAAAATTTTCCATGAAAATGCTGAACCACCGAAAAATTTACTTTTATTAACCAGTAATTGCTGAAATGGAGACGAATAAAGAGAAAATTTTCATTGGGAACCTATCTCATACAAATTTTTCATCGTTGGCCATTAACATATTTTTTTAGGTTCTTAATTTCGCCAAGAGGCCAACATATGCAACTTCAGCATTAAGTTTAAATTCAAAAGGTGACCAAGATGTTTTCCCCGAAACACCGATTGAAGCTGCTTTAAAATATTCGAATTTTATTTTGCTTCAATTAAATTTTTAGAATTCATTTCAATTTGCACATTTATGCAATAATTCAGACATTTTTAAAAGAAACATTGACAAAGAGCAGTCGGGGAGAGGCCTAGAAGTTGTACTCTAACACGTAGGTGCCAGCAGCAACCAGCTACTATGGTTCTCACGTATTGATTGGTGAACACCGCAAGTACCTCTGAGTCCACTGGACTCGCAAATGCCCTTTACGCTGGGGCAGGAGTGGGCTGGTGCGGTCTGTGGTCTACTAACGCAGTGACAGAAGTGGGCTAGTGCGGTCAGGGGTCTATATTAAATATGTTGGGGTCCGTTTTGGCGGGCATTTCAAGCTGGTCTTACGAAGAGAATGCAAATCCGTCAGATAAACATGATTAAAACGCATCTAGTTTGTCATGAAGAAATATTTTTATATTCGATATTAATTTTTGGTTCGAATTGCAATTAAACTCATTTTTTGTATGAATCATGCTGAAACGTATTGATTGGATGTTGACCTTCTTAGTATTTGTTTTTAATTCCGGTCGCAAGACGTGGTTCTAATTCTAATTTTAATGAGATTACAAGGACGTGTGTACTGGTACATTTACAGTGACATGATCTTTAATTTTTCTTACAACGTTTTTAATTAATTTCTCCTTGATTAGAAATCATAAGCCGTGATTAAAAACGTTCAGTTTTTTACGTAAAAAATTAGTTTATTCAATATGAAAATTACTGGCTTAATGATTAAAAATCATGAGCCGTGATTAAAAACTTTCAGTTTTGGACGTAAAAAATTAGTTTATTCAATATGAAAAGTACTGGCTTAAAAACATTAGATATCTAAACAATCATTTACATCGCTAATTAGATAGGTTTTTACCTTTCTCGTTCGGGCTGATTTAAAGCTTATTAAACCCGCAGTACATTCTTTTAATGAAATTGAAAACATATACGGTGGTAAGTCTTAATTTTTAAATTTGATCCACTAGTAATCTAATCTGAACTACCCGCTTAACATCTTATTTAACATGAGAACAAAAATAGTTTAACGGTTCTCAAGATTTTCTAGGCTCTCAATATCTTAACATGCAATACTCCATATAATAAATGAGACAGGGGCTCGTTTCCTCACACTTTAGATACTAAATTTATCCTCTATATAAGAAAGGGAACATTGTTCCATCTACCTCGAACGATATCGTTTAAAGAATCCATAGTACAAAAAAATAGCATTTTGTTCACCGGATAAAACTCGTATTGGTCAGATTATTGATTCAAGCCTGACTACACCCATTTCATGCGCAACTTTTCTTATTGTTCTTGGAATAACATCAGCTCTCAGGTTACGGATATAAATCTTAGACTTCTTTTAGAAATAGTGAGCAAAGAATGAGCGGCTCTTATGTAGTTGAACATCACAGCTCTTATAACATCGCTCTAAATCGTGAAAAATTGTCCCGGTCCAAACAATTCACCCGCGTTGTGTGTCCATTTTAGGAAGTGGGCTTGCGCATAACTCACCGTCCCTCGTCCCAGGCTTGGAGTCTTCGATCAAATTTTCAGCAAATGACGGTGCAGAATTTAAAGCTAACATCGATTTCCATCGCCTGTCACATGTGCTTTTATCGTTGTCTCTTCGGATTTTAAATAAATTAAAGACTCTTGATGCTTGGCTTCCAATATCATTTAATAAAGTTCACTATATTGTTGGAAAAAATTCCCTTGCATACAAAAATATTACTAAACATACGGCGCTCACGATAGTCCGGCGATCGATGACGTGGAAGCAACTTTTTGTTGCTGAATATTTTTGTTAGTTTGGAATTAATTCTAAACTAGGCAACGACGAGGCGAGCGTTAGGGTTTGTCTTTAATTGATAGTATGTGCTAACATATATACAGATATATCTGATCTGAAAAAGATCTAATTCGTTTAAAATGAACAGTTGAACTTGTTAAAGTTCGTATGTCTGTATTTACTTACGTGCTAGGAGCAAGCAAATAAACTAAATAAATTCATGAATTGAATTGAACAAGAATAATGATCGCATCCTTTAGTAATCACATTCTGAGAATTTAGGTGGAAGTGCCAATTTGCAGCTTCGCTTGAGAAGCAGCCAATCGAACGAGCAGACGTTATGATGGATGACTGAGGCCCTATTTCTTGCCACTATTTATCGATGATTTAGTTTAAGTTGCGTGGCGGCCACACTGATCAGGCGAATTCCAAAGGCTGTGTCAACTTTTTATTGTTGGCCGAGTAGCGTTCGTGAATAATTCAGAACTTTGTATCGATATTCGTTACCTCTGTTCCTGGAATTGTTAGGCTTCTCCACGGTTCCCGACGTAGAAGCTTCCTTATGAATTAGAGATTTACTGGCTGCGAATCAATATGAATTGTTGCACAAATGCTGACATATTTTCATTTATGAGACAAAATATTTGATACTTTTTTATAAAATATTTAAAATTAAACGGTGTAGCGCATTTATGAAAACTCAATGGTACTTTAGAATTAGAATGTGACGCCTTAATTAAAAAAAATTAAAAGTAAGCTTCGCTCGTAAAGTGACAGCAGAATCTGCATGTAGTGATTCATTGCGTGCAAGAATTTCACAGCTAGCTGACAACTTGACATGTTCAGCACTGCATCACGAACTTTCGGTGGCGCAATATTCAGCGGATTGCCTCAGAATGGCGACCAGGAGGGCGATGACATTACGAAGAGAAGGCCGGCTATGAATTATAGATCACAGGACAGCTGGATTTAGCCAGAGTTCCTGTGGCGAGTTTGGTGCAACAATTAGGACATTTGCAAGGTAGTGCAATGTCTACGATAATGTGCGTTTCTTTATCGTATATTGATCTGAATGTTGCTTTTTATTGGTACATTTTAAGGTAATGTAGTGAAAGCGTCTGGCAAAGGTCATATGCAATAATCCCATCTAATTAAGTTGCAGCTCGAGACTTAAATGATAACAAATTTGTTCTATGACAAAGAGTTCTCTAGAACTGGATGACCGATTTTGTCTTTCTGACTTGGTCGTACATTTATACAGCTTCAACTACTTGCCACTAATATACGGTAGACACAAAGAAGTATTAAATAAAATCGTGTTTTATTGTAGACACAAAGAAGAATTATACAGTGTCGTGTTTGTCCTCCCTTCTCCCCTAAATCATTGTTATGTCCCTTCCAGTTTTGTATTCAATATCATTAGTACACATCACAGAGGTGATGTCTCTGAATTCACCTACGGGGTTTAAAAGATTCAGCGCTCATTTTACAATGAATAAATGACAAAGAAAATGAATCGAGTATTTAACTACCGTTCTTTTGCATAATTGATAGCGTTCCTCGCTTCTTCTTGAATATGCGAAGAGCATGAATATGTTATTATAAAAGGTATTGCATCACTGGAACGCAGACGAGGATTAAACATGCAGTAAACCTAATGAGGTGTCAATAAATTTTTATTACTGTATCCGAAGTTTGTCATTATTACTGACTTCGTTATTATAAGATGAAGATAATCAATTTTAAACAGTGGTGTTGTCTAAAGGCTATACAATACTCTTAATGCTTGAATAACAATCTCTTTCTGGGCATGGGGAAACATTTTATTTTCTTTTTGTAATTGAGACTTTCATAGTTCATATTGCAAATTACAGGACCAAGGTGAGAATAAAACAAATTACATTTTCAACCGATAAGTTAAACTTTGCAGGGTATTTGGTTGCCCTTGACAACGCAATAAACTTCAGTGTACTTTCTTCAGCTCTTTTTTACAGTGTTCAGTGTAAGCCGCACGGTGACGCGGTGGTTAAATGTTAAGTTCGGAGTACCAAGATTGGCGCAGAGAGGCGCGGGTTCGATCCCAGCTCTGTGCGCCAGTTTCTGGTCAGAAGCGGCAAGGAGGCCGGGCGGTTAAGCGTAGCAGAATTGTAGCAGTGAGTTGTGAGTTCGAGACCGCAACAAGCTGTGGATGTTCTGCGATGTTAAGAATCGGCGACATGCCCATGACCTAATGAATGCTGAAACCGCTTTTATTATTTATTATTATATTGTGAAAATTTATAAATAATTATTTAGTTTCAATACAGTAAATTTTTCTATTGCATGAACATGGCAATTCTAGGAAAATTTGGTGTCATAGCTAAGGTAAAAGCAGAACAAAATATGATTGTAGACATATAGACTATATATACACTAATCCTAGTCAGGAAAACAATTCCTGTTATTGAAGCTAATTTGATGATTTAAGAATTGAAAGAATTACATTATTGAATTAAAAGTAACTATTCGAATCAATTAAATAGTTATAATCATGAGTATCAGTTTATTAGTTTATTTAATAAATAAGAATTATGTGCATATCAATCAATATTATTTATCAGGACAATATTTTCTTTTTATATATGTTCTAGGTTATTTTGAAAGTAACATTATTGCGTAAATATCATCCTTAAAATCCACTTTCTGTGTTTTTTCTCAGATTAAACAAATAATCTAACACAATACCTTAACTCCCCAAATAGAAATATGTCAATTCCTATAATGCCTACACAGACGTTGGATGTTTTTGTTGGCCATCTTCTGAGGTTTTCAATTTACTGAACTCAAATCGGACAACTGTTTCTGAAAAACGTGAAATGACGTTTTTTCGAAGCACATTATTCAACGTAATGTCTATTTAAGTCAGATTACCACGACCGATTGAGGCTTCTTGCATGGCTGGGCATTTGATTGGTCAGAGAAGCACAAGATATTTTATTTACCCACCGTTTTGACTGAATTCCATAAAGTAATGAGCATGAGAATTTAAATACCCGTCCGCAATTCACTGCTAGCATAAAGTAATGCTTGGCGAAGCCTGTGATACAATTTATATAGTGAAGGAAGAAAAATTTTGCCAAGTACTTCTCTAGCACAGAATTAGGTACTTAAAGGGATAAATCAGTCAATGAAAGCTGAAGGAGACTTCTTTATTTTCCATTCATACCTGCATTGATAGTAAATAATATATGCCTGATGGACTGTTCTTGAATTCCCTTGATTGTTGTAAAAGAATACGCCACTTTTTGGAAGGAAATATTCCACAACTATCTCCTAAATCCATCAATCCTAGAACACATCTCTGCATGAGAAAATTTTAGAAATGTATGCGGAATTATTCGATTGGTTGTGGGAAGAAATGGTGGGACATGAGGTATTTTTATGGAACCTAATTGCTAGCGTATTTTTCACACTAATTTTTTTTCCTCTAACTGGTATGAGAATAATTATTATTTTCATGAACCATAATTCAATTTTCTAAAAATCGTTCAACAGTTGGAGCAATACTTCTTTTGTTCTATATGTGAACATCATGGAATAATTGATAATAAAAATCTATAAGAGAATTAACGTTAAATATCTATAAACGAATATTCTTCAATTTTAATCAATCACATTCGTGCTCTAAAAACGAACATTAAATTGTTTGCCAGAAAAATGGGTTCATTTGAAGGACATATCCTACCAGGAACAATTTTCCTCTTATTTGGAGTACGGATTGTGTACAAAGTGCTGGAAAGATACTACCAGTGCCGGAAGGTGCTTCTCTTGACCACCAACACCAAGGACGCACTGCACTACCAGTTTCGGTCTAGTTTGTCCTACCGCAGCTCCGTGTGCCCGACGCTACCCTGCGAAGAACTGGCGGTCCTCGCACTAGCTATCATCGGAGCACTGGGTGAGTGTCACTATCTGGGGGCGCTGGGTGAGTGTCACTATCTGGAAGCGCTGGGTGGGTGTCACTATCTGGGAGCTCTGGGTGAGTGTCACTATCTGGGAGCGCAGTGTGAGTGTCACTATCTGTTCTAGTTTGTCCTACCGCAGCTCCGTGTGCCCGACGCTACCATGCGAAGAACTAGCGGTCCTCGCACTAGCTATCATCGGAGCACTGGGTGAGTGTCACTATCTGGGGGGGCTGGGTGAGTGTCACTATCTGGGAGCGCTGGGTGGGTGTCACTATCTGGGAGCTCTGGGTGGGTGGTTACTACTAAGATCACTGGGTGGGTGATCATTATCTGGGAGCTCTGGGTGGGTGGTTACTTAACCTACTATAGGAGCGGTGGGTGGATGTCACGATCTGAGAGCGTTGGGAGCGCAGAGTGGGTGTCATTACCTGAGTGCGTTGGTTGAGTGTCACTTTTTGGGTGCTCTGGGTGAGTGTTACTATCTGGGTGCGTTGAGTGAGTGATCACGCTCTTGGAGCGATGGTTGGATGTCAAAATCATGGAGCGTTGGGTGGGTGTCACTATTTGGGAACGCTGGGTGAGTCAATCACTATCTAGAAGCGTTGTGTGGATGAGAATGTAATTCACATTATATGTAGAAAGGATTTCGTTTTACAACTACGCGCGATAATAACAATAATTTTTAAGCAAATCTAGGTACATTCAAGTTTTAACGCTTCTGATTATTTCTCGCACCAACAACTTTCCCAAAACCAATGAAACTTGTGTCACTTCTCGACGTAATCTCCTTGCAGCCGTTCATATTTTTTGCAAAACCGACGTCATGATTCCATGGCCGCTGCAAGCGCTTCTTTTAGAGTCTGTTGTGACAACTGGAAATCGCTGATGCATGAGCTACCGGCTCATGAATCATGAATGTGCTCTCTAGGAAAGTTTCTTTCAAAATTGGCAATAACAAAATGTAGCTAGAAGCCAAGTCAGAAGAGTACGGATCGAGTGCGGAGGATCATTTCAAAGAAGAAATTGTTGCGGAGAAATTAATGGAGAAATTTCATTTCAATGGAGAAATTGTAGCGTCTCGTCAGCCCGTCACTTGCCATCATTCGGCGTCAACATTGCTTGGCAACATGCAACTCGGTCACCCTTGTGATCATTCGTCAGCATTCATGGCACCCAGAGTTGGGAAGTAGCGCGCTACATGTAGCGGCTGCTACTAGCGGCCGCTACATTTTCAGTAGCGGTAGCGGCGCCACATTTTAAGCAATGTAGCGGTAGCGATAGCGCCCGCTACATTTAGAGCATGTAGCGGTAACGGTAGCGGCCGCTACATTTCAAAGTAGCGCTGTCCAGCTCTGATGGCACTAGAGGGCACTTTTTTGCATTTTTAGGTCATCATGCAGGATTATGAGCGTAGATCCTACAAAAATGCCAACATAAAAGGCGATCTCTTCAACAGTCAATAGACGATCTCCCAAAACAACTTTCTCCATGCGCTCGATCTTGTCAACAGTCCGACTTGTACGAGGCCGAGATTCTCTTGGTTCGTTGAATCGTCGCACCCACTCACGAATATTCGACACATCCATGCCATCATCACCGCATGTCTCCCACAACTGGCTATGAATTTCAATTGTTGTCCAGACACGCAAATGCGGAAAATGAATGATTACACGCTGCTTTTGGGCGTAAACGTTGTTTTTTTTAGGTATCGAAAATAATCCTAACCCTTACCGCTGACCTAGAGGTTCTATTTGCCATGCAGTGCTGTCATCCTAGCACACATTTGCAAAATGTACTCGTTTATTTAATAAAAAACAAACTGAATGTCTCTAATTCCAATTAGAATAAAAAAATCGAAGGCGTTATAATTTGAATGCATCTCGTACATACATATTTATGGTTGTTTTAAGTTGACCAAGAGGAAATAATATTTTTCAGTCTTACTTTAAATCTCTGCGAAGCTCGTGGAAAAGAAACGCACAAGTAGTTGAATGTGATTTCAGATGCAATGTGGACTGCTGTAACGCCATAAAAACTGGGTTACTCGGAATAAATACCTACTTAATTATATTATGTATTTCAAAATTTTGTTAGGATTTGAAACTAAATTTGCCTGAAAAATTGTTTATGATTTAGGTTATGAGATAAAATTTTTCACTGCGAAATTATTATACATCTTCATTTGCACTAATTTCCGCTGAATTTTTCTACAGGAGAATTGCTGACTGGTTTCAACTCAGACGGAAGTTTTCGTGCAAGCAACGGCCACCACATCACAATGTACCTCTTCTTCGCGCTGGCCTCAGGCGTTGCGCTTCTCAAGTATTACGGGTGAGAAGACATTCGCCGAAAATGGAGTCAAAAGCATATTTTTTTTAACATTCAACAGTTCATTTCAGGTTGTTAAATTCGTTAACACATGGTGGATTTAACAACACATCAAGGATTTCTCGTTTTGAGAATTCACAGAATTCACATACTGTATATAGCCCAAATGATCAACAATGCTGTCATCAATTTCAGGCTTCCTGATCCCTCGAACAAAAGGTATTCAGATTTATTTAGCAATGGGACAAAACTAGAGCAAAGCTAGAGCCGTGAGTATGACCCAACAAAAAAATATTTTCATTCTCGTATTTGTTTTCATTGTTTGTTTCATTTTTATTTCTTCAGTTGCCCTGTGCCAACTGACTGCGATTACGGGAGCGTTATCCTGGCGTTCGGTTTAGAGGGCTTGCTTTTCTACAATCACCTCCATGGCCGCCCGCACATGGATGTGCAGGTAAAAGATGCAATCACTGAATACTCGTGATTGTTTCAAATATAATGACGATACATGTGCAGTGTGCACGGCACAGACAGGTGCTGTTGATTGCTAATTAAAATATGTTTAAATATTTCAGGATAGACGCCGGTATTAGATTATTCACAGGATAGTGCTTCATAGAGATTGTGTTAGTAAGTTTCAAGGTCGACTTTTCTCGGTACAAATTTAATTCAGTTGGCTAGACTGCTTTTTTGAACTTTCCAGGGTGATAAACTTTAAGCCAGCGAGTACTTAAGAGCGAAATAAATCAGACATTTTCTGGGAGACGGGTGCCTATCAATAATGGAGTGATATTGAACGCAAAACAAATGAGAGTTCCCGAACGCCTTCCATGTGAATTATTACCGCTACGCTGAGAACAGCGTGGTAAGGTATTGACGGAATTTCAAGGTCGTAACAACAAGTTAATGGCGAAAAACGACATCATGTAAATATTGAGAGGCGCATGGAATGTTAGATTTATAGATTTTAACTTCTACGAAACTCTAATGGCATAGCAAACGTACGCAAAAAATCAAATCGTTTTCTCCAATTCAAATGTCATTGGAGATAAATATTTTGAGTGAACTTCATCATCACAGCTTGATTTGCAAATTCAAGAAAGATTTAATAGAGTCTAATTTCCGTAAAATTAAGGTATATAGAAGACATTTCATGCATTGAACCAAATGAATGATTTTAAATGGTTTTTCACTTTTTATTCTGTCTACAAAAACTGCCTGGCCGTTACATACCTTTTACAGCAAACGGATACTAATAATATTCAGCAAATAGAGACCAAATATTATAAATAATAATACTCTCAATACACATAAATACATAAGTTAGCCGTTAAGATAAGATACTTGCTGCAGTCGGATACGGATTACATATATATAGGTTGTGCTTTGGAGAAAAGTAATGAAATCAATTGATATGTTTCTGAGCTAGAGTGCACGAAATTGTTTACTTTGTCAAGCAATCGTAATCGCGTTTTTTCTCATATTTTGTTCTCATCCCCTGAAGATTTAAATTCATTCTTCCAGTCGTGTCAGCTGTATATTCAATCGAATATACTTAGGCGGCATTCATATGAGCTGAAATATATAACTTTTGGTATTAGTAAAAAAAATGGTTACATGTCGTTTGATTGATTTTAATTAATAAAAATTTGAAACGGAAAACTTGGCAATCGTAATCTCTGCGTATTGAGTTATACCAATGTCCTATCTCTCAATATATATTTGCAAAAATGCAAAGTAAGGATTGATATTTCACGGTGGTACGGCCCCACCGTCTCAAATTTCGCATTTTATTTCAATAATTTCACTGGCAAGAATTCTAATCACGATAGTCAGTCAATACAAGTGAAGGCGAGAAATTAGGCCCGTCAAATTGTGGCGTAAAGAAACGATATTGATCACGCCACAGCATGTGCAAGAGATAGTCTCATTAACGATATCATCTATCATAACTTATTTGAATTGAATCTAAATTAATGAATAAACCTCAGTTCTGAAAAGTTTTTACCGTGAATAAATTTTGTCTCATATTTGTTGTGGTGCAGGTACACATGTTCCTGGTGTACACGATATTCCTGGTGTACACGATATTCCTAGTGTACACGATATTCCTGGTGTACANCACGATATTCCGCAGGTTCACATGTTCCTGGTGTACACGATATTCCGCAGGTTCACATGTTCCTGGTGTACACGATATTCCGCAGGTTCACATGTTCCTGGTGTACACGATATTCCTGACCACGGCGGCTTTCTTCTGCGAAATGCTCAGTAGACGCAGCGTCCTCGCAGCGCTGGCCAGAGGTTACTTCATCGTTGTTCAGGTTGGCATAATGAGGAGAACTGTGCTGTTTCTTTCAATATTCACTGACTTTACGCTATTTTTACAACACTTCTCTTTAACTTCACTTCTGCGTATTCGATATTAAAAAAATTGAAAAAATAATTTTGTCAGCTGCAAATCCTTTAACTGATATTTGACACTTTTACCTGTCCGATTGATCTGAAATTGCGCACACTTGTGTGAAGTCGGAGGCAATGCATGAATCAATTGACGGAATAAATAATTTTGAAAAAATTTATATATTACAAATATTTATATACTAAAAAAAATTGAAAAATTAATTTTTTTTAATATTCGAAAATAAAATAAGAAATTCATTGTACATCTGAAAGAAGGCGGCACTTTATTCTTTCGAAGTGTTGTTTTAAAAAGTAATTTTTAAACGTATATTATTCCTGAAAAAAATGTTATGCTGATCAATCAGAAATTTTGATTGATCCTCAAGTACAACAGCTAAATACGTACTAAAACCTTGAACTTATTGAAGTTAACAAAAAAATTGTTCTTAAGACCAAAGGAGTTCCAGTGAAACAATTAAACCATTCGAGTACCTTAGTTCAGAAACCACCATATATGCTCCTATCCGTAGATCAACAGGAAATTTTTTGTTAACCATCATACTTTTCAACCGCACATTGCTAGGAGTCATTTTTGCATAGAATGAGATGTAATTACAGGCACAAAAAATTGTTGTTACAGGGATCGTGGTTCTACCAGATCGGCTTTATCTTGTACCCTCCATTCGGCCAGCACTGGGACGTGGACGATCATAAACAAATGATGCTAGTTTCTCTGATTCTGATCTGGCATTTCGCGGGCGCTTTGGTGCTGGTAGCAGCCATAGCCTCGCTTGCTTACTGTCGTACGCGGATGTTGGCTCCAAGCCTGGCCAAGAGTCGGCTAGAGAACGATTTTAACTTTGTTAACAAATGGAGAGAAAAGTGCAACTCTGAGTATATGATAATGATGTCTGAGGATGAAAAAGAGGACGTTGCATGAAAAAGTTGCCTTCAAAACATCATCTTGCAATTTAATGATACAATGAATGAAGCATCGATTCAGCTTCATTTATTATACAATGTAAAATGGTGTATCGCAAACAAAATTTTGTTACACGTGGAATGATATGTGATGACTATGCTGATGAATATATATCGATGATTGTGAATATTTTTTTCGCAGATTTGACATTTTTCAATTTCTTAAACCTCATTTGAGTGCAGAATTCAAGTTAATATTTATCACAATTACTCAAATGGCTGAATGATTGAGGCAGAATTAGCATCAATAAATTAAATAAACCAATAAATATTCGATCCGTCTCATGAATTGTTGACTTTTCGATGGGTCAACGTCTGAATTTGATTCACAGTTGTTCGTAAAAATGTTGAAAAGGATGAGGTAGATTTAATATCAGTGAACAATAATAATCAATGTTACATGGATTATTGTGTTATAACAAATATCTTCTTGCCTGTGTTATTGCGGACAAATTATTTTAGTGCATTGCAAGAACACTTATGTACGCTGATAAGCGTACATAAGTGTTCTTCGATTTATGTACACTGATAATTAATTATTAGAATGTTTATAGAAGTATTGTCTACTGGAATAATTTTAATAATATTGTAGAAATCACTGCTTTAAATGAAATATTCACGAAACGATTTAAGGCTGATACTTGTTTCATTTTTGAATTACTTCAAATAACTACCATAACGAAGAGGAGATTAATTCGAGTATCATTTGAATTTTTTCAATTTTTCTGGCGAATCAACAGTTGCCCAAGTTTTATCACAATAAATCAGCTCTTTGTGAGTCCCGATAGAATATTTGAATAATTTTTAGAGCAATGATCACATCCCGCCGGCCGGTACAAGTGTGTCTTGATAAGATAATCGAAGATATTCAAACAGTTTGTCCGCTTTAGTGCAAGCCACAGATCTCGTCATAAATGCGCTGCAAAGCCAGTCAGTGACAGTTCTCTCAAAATTCAATACACAAATATGCTATAATAGTGAATAAAAGTAGGAAGAGCGGGCATCAAAATATGTTCTACGTAGATATTTGGGTGGTATATTTTGGCAGTTTGTTCTATTTTTCCAATATTAGACTTATAATGTCTTACCACTGATTATTGTTTCCTGTGTAACGTCTTTGTGGTAGTGCTACCTTATGTGTGTGCTCAGCTGCAGGATTAAAAGGTTGTTTCTAAATTGTGTTGATGACGCACGAAAACTTTGCTACACATTTTCTCATGGAGTGATGTACTGACAAATGATCGCTTCTAGAACTTTCTTCGGTATAGTGAAACGAAGTCTTGAAAGTTACTGACCAATTACATGAATGCAGTGTTATCAGATAAATAAGGCAGCATTTTAGGAGTTTCATAGTAAATTTAATCAAATTTAAATATATTTTATGCAATGTGTGCGGATGTCACAAGCGTGGATGAGCTAGGCATGACCGATGTGACTCATAATAAAAAATTAGTTAATACGATCATTATAAAAGTGAGGCTTTTTACGGTTATTCTTTTGGAAGCTAAAAAGGTTTATCTGTATGCATTTGACCGAATCGCTACTAAATAAACTTAAATGCATGACAGCAAATTTTAAATCTCAGTTATCCTTATGAAGAGTTTGATGATTGTTCTTTGTGAAATACTTTTCGGTTCTTGCCTTTAAATGTAGAGTTTTTATAGATTTTTTATAGATAGGTAAAGGCATCCTGATGAAAGCCTGCTACATTAAAGGTACTTTATAAATGCTTTGTTTGAGGTTACGTAGATATTTAGAATAGCTCTCGTGAGGTGATTATTAATAAAAGTCAGAGATACATGTTATCATTGAAATTTAAGATCTATTGTCTTGTAATATGCGATTCGTTCTTGTAAGAAGCGCCTCTTTTGATTCACATGAAGTTGTTTTATTCTGCTGGAACAATGAATTAATAAATGTTATACTGCAAACCTTTTACACTTGCTTTAATTGAAGTGCTTACCTCAATACGAACCTCTAACAACAAGTGGTCGTGGGGATGTTTCAAAAATGTTTTTTATTGCTATTATTTACTTATTTTTTTCGATTTAAATGACGCAATTTTTACTGAACAGCGTTATTAAAATTTTATAGCATGCAAACTGGGCTAAATTCTACCTTCTTTGCATTTTACTGTCATAGAACATATTTTTAATTGAACGTGGACCCATTTATAGAAAGTTTACTTGACCATAACTTTTATTGTAGTATTTTAGGTTTCAAAAGGTGCATCGGATCAAAATTTCATCATGGGCTCCTTTGTCGGGCACCTGGTACCGGGAATAATAGGTTTATTGTTCTGTATGCGTACTTTGTACAATGTCTTGCTACGCTTCTATCACTGTGATAAATATTCACGCGTTATGGCCGTCGACAGCGAAGACGCTATGAGGTATCGATTTCGGTCCAGTCTCACCTACAAAACGTTCTTCTGTTCCAATCTGCCGCTTGAAGAATTTGTGATAATTGCCGCGGCCGTTATCGGAACTGCCGGTGGGTTAAGTATTAGTTAATGGAATGCTTTTTGGTTATCAATATCGTGACCATTTGCTCTGATACACCCAACTCATTTATGGACTAGGAAGTTCGAAAGCTTTCATCACTGAATACTTCCTTGCCTTCTTCGAACTCCAACTTGTACGGTAATGCATACTCATTATAAATGTCATGAATCTTTATGAAAATTCTGACGAAATACTCTAGTCCCCAGCGGTGAATTAATTCAATTGATATGTAATGCTATTCATATAATTGGCCCAAATCGGATTAAATATTATTATTAGGTCAACTTTGATATAAAAAGCAACAGATTCATGTTTTTGGCCCGCCATATAACCGATCATGTTACAGAGAAAAATTATAAGTGTTATCAAGTATCCAAGCATCAAGTATGAATCGAATGAATATTGTAACTGCATGACTAATTTTAGCAAATATCGATGGGTCGTTAACACAAGATATTTATTTCATTTCCAGCCGAACTGATCTCTAAACTGCACTACGCTGACCCCTTCGTCAGCGTGGGCGGACAGCACTTAACTATTTTTCTCTTCTTTGGATTTGCTGCCGTTATTTCTACGATGAAGTTTTACGGGTACGAGAAATATTTATTCATGTCTGGAAAATACTTTGTTTCCATCTTCATAACCTAAAATAATTTTATTATAAGCTTTAGTCGTGCAAGATGCAGAAAAGAGAATCATGTTATTAACGATAAGATATACATTTCATGGCCAAAGAGGTAATAAGTACCCATAATATCTAGAAATTATTTTTTATGATCTCAGATCCGACACTTTAAGAATGTAAGCTGCGCACTAAAACGGAGCCTTCATGAATTCTGTCGTATGATCAAAGATTATTTTGAGTTGAATGACAGAAAAAATTGTGACAGACTCCCTCCTTTGATTCCTCGATTGCTTCAATTAAGGTTACAGTAAGCCAGCATTCGAAAAAAAAACTGTTTGCCTGCTAATGACACATTCGGTTGTTTGCAAATTGCTCCTTTCAGTTTCTCTGAATAAGTTTGGATATTAGCTCTCGTGATGCATACTGAGTTTGAATGAAATTTCAAATGTTATTTCATCGGATTTTCCTTGATATTAAATAATCGTAATCCGGCCACGAATTATTATAAATTAATTCGTGCTTCCACGTGTTGTAAAACTGAGCTCACTAATTAAAAAATTATTGAAGCCTCTAAAGAAATGATGTGTATATTATCAAACCTTCTACCGCATCCTCAAGAACTGGTGCAAACTTAGGATTCACATGAACATGATGGAGCTGAAACCATGCAAATGTTACCTTTCGTTTTATATATATTCGATGGTCAGATTTTCTAGTATTCGGTGTTTACCTGCAGATGAAGTCAGATGGATTAGGTCATGTCAAATAATTTTAAAATGAATTATAAAGTTCCTTGTTTAATTCCTCATTATTTTTTTGTCGCGAGTTAATGTAATTGAATGCTAGATTCAACTAACTGCCTAATTGTCAATTTTAGTTGAACAATATCCGTGATTCTCATTTGCCTGTAACGCATTCTCATATGAAGACGAATATTTCCTCACAATTTCTTCATTCGTATTCTGGAATTCTATTCGATGCTATCAACACGATTCAAGTGTGATATAATCGACTACTATGGAGTTGTATGTAAATTCTGGATTACGCGTGCATATCTCGAAGGTGTTATAATAATCCATGAATCGCAAATATCATATTATATCATATTTTATTAGGTAATCAAACAATACGAGTTGTTAAAAAACGCTCAGAATTATTTCAGCAAATGCGATGGTTTAAAAAATAGTTTGTCACAACATGATCGATGTCACAGAGTTCCGGTGCCGACTGACTGCGAGTACGCCTGCGCCGCTCTGGCGTTCGGCCTCGAGGGCTTCCTTCTGTACCACCACGCTTTTTTTATTTATTAAGAAATTAAAAGGGTTACTTAATTCTGGTTCACCCTGTACAATTAAATTTTGTTTCAAATTGGTCCAAAATCCCTTTAAAAAGTTTCCAACTTTAAACTAATCGATCATTAAACGCACTCTGATTGTATATTTGCTTTTATCTTACTAATAATTGTTTGGTGTAAATTTTTGTTATATTATTCCTCAACAGACTCACATGGGCTTGGTATATACGACGCTCCTGACTTCGGCTGGGATGCTGTGCGAGATGAAGTATAGGCACAGCGTCCTGGCTGCCATATCAAGGCCTTACTTCTTAGCAGTAGAGGTTAGGTGAAAAGAAGTTTTTCAGTAAATTTTGTTCATGAAGCAACATTTGTTTTGTGAAAAGCATGAATGTATTATGTTTGATTACTGTAGTGGTGAATTCTTTCCGATTTTTTATTCAATATTTGGAAAAATTTGATTTGGTGGGTAGATATAGTGGAATTTATTTTTCTGTTAAGATTGATTTCGATTCGATCTTTTTTTATATTAAATTCTGAGAATGAGAAAAATTTCGATAATAAAAAATCTTGGATAAGATTGAGTCACAAAATTTGGCGACACTCCTCTCATAAACTTCTGTGATGAATTTCGTTTCAATTTTCAGAGTACATGGTTGTGTCAAATGGCCTTCATCTTGTTCCCTCAATTTGGGGGTACGTTGGACAACGAAGACCCTATCCAGATAATGACGGTGTCAATGCTTTTCAATTGGCATTTTGCGGGCAACATTGCTCTTGTTGGTATCTTGGCTACCATCGCTCACCTCCAAGTTCGCAGGAAAACCCCGGATCAAATACTGAAGCATTTGGAGAAGGATTTGTGTGAAGCACGACGGCACAGCAAGAACAGAAACTGCCGTCGAAGCTCAGAATATATGGTCATGATCAACGAAGAAGAGAAGGAAGAATTGTCCATTGTGAGCGACTAGAGCTAACTTAACTGTGAGCGACTAGAATTCCCTTAACTGGTTTTCTCGTGCTTCATTGACAATCAATCTTATCTTCTTACCCTACAACAAATTTATTGCTCTTTCGGATTGATACATGCAGAGTTATGCAAATTTTGCAATTTGGAAACGCTAAATATTTCCTAGAACAATGGTTTTCGTGCTGACTATCAGGATCTTTGATTGCCTTCGCTAGGTATTAACACCTCGTTTTTCAAACATATTTTTGTACATTTGTCTATTTACAATCAAATTAATCACGTGTGTGTTGGACGACTACCATGAATAACTTGGACAAGAATCAATTAACCATAAATTGTACATTAAATTTTCTTGGCCATATAGTTAATAGATTATATATAGCACGACTATATAATTGACTCACGTACATCTGTGGTGGAATCGTTAATCTGAATGTAAAGTATATCGCATGCCTACGAAAGATCACTTCAGTGGGGACTTGAAATCTTGACCAGAAAATATATAATCTAACATTTACTATACTCATTGCTGCCATTTATGAAATAAACATTCAATATTTAGGAAATATATTCACCAATCAATATTTTTTGAATTCATATTGCGCCCTAACCTAGCACATGCCTCCGCTTTTGCTTTCCATCGCACCAAAATCGTTCAATATTTGTCTTCAGCACTCATCCCTTTTGTAAACCCTATACTCAAATGGCAATCATAACAATTCGCACAAACGAGTTCTAAGCCAAGTTATTATTGCATCTGGATAAGCACAATTATTATTACGTTTCTCTCACAATTATCAAGGGGCAAAAAATTTCCTCTCTTAACTTAATTTTTTTCTTTTTGAAATAATAGATTTTTGCAAGTTACGTTATATTTGTAAAACGAAGTTACATGGCTACTTGAAAGATTCTGCAATGAATCCGATACAATTTCTTTTTGTTAAGGAAAAATATAGATAAGAACATCCAGAAACATCTGATATAGATGTTTCTGGAAATTTTTCGTGAGTTTTCGAGTTTGATGAGGAAATTCACTTAATATTTTAGTCCATTGTTAATATCTTGAATTTAATACTTTGAATAAAAAACTCCGAGAAAACTTTTTTCCTCATTAAAATAAAAATAATTGAACAACATTCCGCTAACTGAAGAAACGGATTAATGACGAGGCTTTCAGTTGAATGTATATGAACGGGTTTATACAGCGCCATGCATGTGCCTATAATTTATTATGATGACACATATGAACACAAAATAAAATTCCACATATGAACGCATTAGCCCTACGGAAAGCCACCACCAGGCATTAATTTGCTCATAAAGATGTCCACTCACAAATAAAACACACAGCTACGTTGAAGTAGGAAATTAAATGGTCTGTTGACCGATCAATAATAATTGACCAATACTTTGCTTGGTTTCAACGTCGACAAGAGGTATTGCGCATGTCCAACATGTGATGCTCCTGTTGCTTGGAAACGCTTTGTTTGACTACCTGTTCTTCGGTCGACTTCATAGAACGCTTCATAAAGTTTACAACATTCTTCTCGAGTGGTTGTGAAATCATGAGGTATTTCATATCTGCAAGTGAACGCTTTGTTCATTATCGTTTAATCCAATAATAAAATTATTTATTCGTTTAATCCAATAGGAAAATTTGCATTGTTCTCCTTTGCTGAACGTGAGGCAACTCATTTAATTCAAGGAATCGAATCAGATCTTATATTTCACTTTATTTTAATCGTTTGAAAGTATTCGATTTTAAATGTACCCTTGAATTTAGTGCGATAATTTGTAGCTATTGAACATATATTTTGAAGTGAATTATTCATATTTGAACAACATTTTTGTTGTTTGTTTGCTCTTTTTATTTATCAATAAATTGAGAGACATGCATTCTTATCTTATCATGAAATCAGTATCGATTGTTCATTCCAAGTAAGACGAGTTTCAGAACAGTTTTCAGATACTTTATTTTTCTCATTAACTTATCGTCATGAAAAATGCCGCCTGAAGGCTAATTAAAGGTATTTGTTCTGGAATTCAATGAAATGCAATCATTGATTTTAGATGATTGAACGACTCAGGGATGCGCAAGAATATTCTCATTAGTTGAGAATCATTTTTTTAGATCCGCTTCTTGAAAATCTATCTAGATCATTTTCTATTGAGAACTAGTTCAGCGTAAGCGTAAAATGACTTGAGTTTTATGATATACGTGAAAATTTTTGGGGGCTTGCATACATAATTTTTGGTACGTGAAATTTTTTCAAAACTAATTTGTCTGCTAGATGACAATGTCAAAAGTCTTATAATAGTGAGCTGTGTCCAGTTTCGAGTACAATTTCTCTTAGTAAATAATCTCCTGTCACTGCCATTCACTATGCTTCTGAATGTATACATTCGACATTTCATGAATGGCGTGCTTGAGAACACGCATGCCATGTTTATGTATGGTCATTACGACACGCAATGCATACGATAAGGTATAGGAGTGAGTGGAAGATGAGTCAAAGCTGGCATGTTATATGAAAAGGTTTGAATGAACTACTGCTAGTCTCCATCCTGAACAGGGGTAATACGAATGAGACTACAAAAAATCTTTATCCATATTCGTGTTGAACCTTCTCCCAGTCAAATCCAGTTCTCCATGAACTGCACCTTTGTGGTCCGAGGCTGAGCTGCATAGTGCTCAAGGCCAGATATTCAGTCGACAACAGATAGTTTCTTGCCTCTCAGAATTTAACCATACAGACGGGAAGTTTGGACACTCGGCGTTTTTGTGCAAGATTGTTGCACCCATCGGCCATCTCTTTCAACGTTCGTCAACACTCTATACCAGGATCTAATAATCACATTTATCAGCAACTATCATCATTAGACGTCCACAAAATACCTGATATGCATTGACGCAATGGACGTTCAGAGTCAAATATTACGCGGTGCACTTTAAAAGATTCTTGTGAGGCTAACAATTTCAGAAAGAAAATCGCACAATAGCCTCGAATTGAAATGTTAGTAAAGTAAACAGTTTAAATTTTCTATCATATAACTCGTGCCCTAATCATTACATAGACAGATTCCCTTGTCTTCCGAAAAGTTTCTCTGTAGATTCAAAGCCGATGACTCAAATTATGGTTCAAGGCTCGGAGGCCCCATTAACTTATCTAGTTAATCGAGAGTGTATCCTTGCGTTGATAAGATGCCTCGTCTGTGTCAGAATGAAAGGACGACAGCCGGCTAGCAAAACGCTATATGCGTGTCTTAATATTTGAAATTCAGCATTTGTAACAACGCCTATTGTTCCAAAAGAGTCCAGCAGATTAGAACAATGGTAAAATGATTGATGTAGTATTTTTCTCACCACACAAAGGCTTCAATTTCACATTCACGACAATTTATATTACACACCTCAATCAAAACTTTGCCAGCAGCCATCGCACTGCTTGTGGAATATATCTTTCATATTAAATTCTTGATACCAATCTCTGTAATGAAATTATGTTAACTGATGAATAAAGTATTCACTTTAAATATTTTCGGGGGGTTAATAATATATTCACATTGGAACAAAACATTGAAAAGTATTTTGAAATTAAAACTATTAGATATACTCTATAATTGGAATTACGATAATAAAAATGAAGAAATAATTTAGAGATAATTTAGTTAGTAAATGAAGAAATAATTTAATTTAATAATTTTTTAATTTAGTTTTCCAAGTTTGAAGTGTTTCATTACTGTACGACCGAACTGCGGAAAAACATCGTTGCTAATGAAGTTCATATTAAAGAACTTTATTGATTGCAATAACCTTTTCCTTTATATTAGTAGTCAAGTTTTTTCCTCTTTAGTAGTAGTCAAATCATCAGCCTGAATATAAGTTCATGATTATAGCTTTCGACAAGGGATATTATAAATCTGAAATAATTTATTCGTTTTCAAAGGGAACGGCAATATTGATGAATATCTGTGAAATTTACCTAAAAGACGACAGCAAAAATGTTCAATAGAATGCTTAGATAATAACTACTTCTGAACCTGATCCAATGAATAGATTTTCAGGATATGCTATGGAAAATAATCAAAATCCTGCCGATTGTTTTTACACCATTAGAAGACACAATAACTGTAGTTAAATTTACTTAAATTAATTATCAAATAATATTACCAATTTATCAAATATCACCAAGACAAACCATTAGAACGAATTAAAATTTATTAATTCAATTCGAGTTACTTTTCATTGAGAAGAAGAATATTCACAGCGATTATCGTGCGTGCTTGCCATGTAGGGTAACATGGGGCAGCGAGCCCACTGCGGGTCATGGGCCCATAGCGGGTTTCTCGCTAAGTATTGCAGAAATTGGTCCGTGTTCTCTACCGCCGGTCGACAGTTTCACTGGGATGAAGTGTACGGATTTACGTTATGCTAAGTGTTTGCGTTATTAAGTTATTTGTGAATAACTGTTTTAGTTGAGCGGGACAACTGTGCTGTTCGCTCTATGTTAAGTCCCGAATTTCGACTGGCGCGGTTATTATGCCAACTTTAGTAGCGGCGATGGTTAAAAATATTAGCAGTGCATAGTGAGGTTATCACTGGAGGTAACTGGCAGGGATTAACACATAATTAACTTGGTTGTGTAAAAGATTATTATACCCTTTATTTACATTTTATTAACTTTTCATTTTGGCCCAAATGAACTTCTACAGCATTATATATATGCGCCGTTTTACACGCAACTAAACACATGGTATGAAGAATCATCATTCTTCATGTTATGTTTTACCAATCTTTTGACTGAAAGTAGCCGATTTCTAACGGGAAATGGAAACCCTACTTTATTATATTCATTTGTGAAAGATTCTTCAGTTTCTTTATGTTTGGATTTCATACAATTTTAATTGCAATGTTCAATATACAGAAATTGAGTTTGATTATTGAAACTAGACATACCAAAAATATTTAATGTACATGTTCCTATTATAAAGTATGTTTAGAGGTTCTAGATGCCAAACACGCAGCGTATAGCTACGACAGCACACAGATTGCAGGGAACGGAGTCGATGCTATTACTCATATTTTAGTATATTAAAAATAGGACTATATATTATTTAACAAAAGGAGTAATATGTTATTAATGGAATACTTTTACTATGAAGGATTTTTGATTTTATATTTTCTATTTAAACTTATAAAACATATATTAATTTCCAATTAATTAATTTTGATATTTACCAATGGCTTTGAGATTTAATGCAGCTCAATTATTCCTTGGAGATGTACGAGGTCGAGTCAGTGTTGTCATTAACTAAAAATATGGCGTGCAATTCAAGAAGTTAAGAAATATTAGTTGTTTGAGCGACAAGAAGCAACTATATAACCACGTAAAAAAAGATTTTTGAACAATAAAATGAATGCTGAGAAGTTAAACTCTACATTTTATTAATAATTCAATCTCCTGCTTGGAACAAAATGGCATGACAAATAGTGTTTTGTTTCTAGGAGCATAATAATATATCAATCGTTAATATAATAAACTGAACAAATAATGTAACAAATCCCAGAAAGAAATTATGTAAATCATCGCCACCCACACACACGCTCGCTCATAATTAATATTCTAAGTCAACTGAGGTGTGAATTTATTGTTGTTACTTTGTTTTTACTGAATTTTTATTCAATTACAACCCAATAATGTGATACTCTAAAAAATGTCAGTATCAAAGCATCTTTAAAAGTCAACCGATTTTGGCAATACTTGGTTAATTACTATTTATATAGATATTTTACCCCATAGATATATTTTAGTTAGCATCAACTCACTTCCCAAGCTTAATTTTGCTGATTCAACACTAAGTCAAAATTTCTTTGATAATTATTCTAGTATTGTTTTAGAAGTATTTATGTTCTTACAGAACCACTGAAAATTTTCTGGTTTCAAAGGCTTTGAATTAGAATTTATTTGGTGCTGTCCACTTAAAAAAATATTTTTGTCGCATAAAGAATTAAAAAATGTGTTTCCTCATTCCACGATATTATGTCAGGCAGCGTATTTCGAGTTCACACATTGAACTTGGTGCGACAGTATGTAACCAACGTAATCTATAGGAATAACAATGGATAACTTAGATGCTCTTTTTAGCTGCTCTCTCGATAAGATAAGACGGGGGTCGAGATGATATCGAACAAGAGGCCGAGACATGAGGACAATCATTTGATGTAGCTTCCATCAGTTACCTGTATGACCAGCACACGAGAGCGCTTGTTGATTCATTTGTTTCATTCTGTAAATATCTTCATTGAACAGTGACAAAGCATAGTGAAGGCCGTCTGCAAAAATTCAGGAAATATTGAACAATTATTTTCTAATTAAGGTAGGAAGGGATAAGTAAAAAACAAATAATTGAATATTACTTTTTTAATACTGCGCAGGGAGTTAAAAAGTCTTGATAGGCTTGCTCAAGACAAGGAATATTTTCAATTAACATCGCGAACCAAGACCCTTATTACAAGCGTCATTCGACAATAACATCTCCAAACAAGTTCATCATAAAACATGGGAAGGTTATCAGGTCATCTCCTACCAGGCTTCTTCTTCATATCGTTTGCCTTGTGGTGGGCCTATAACATTTTCTTCCGTTATTACGTGTCACGTAAAGAAGCTGTCATTAATGGCCGCAGTCGAAAATGTTTAAGATACAAGAGCAGTTTGCTCTTCCCCTGCCATACCTGCTGCAATGGAGCTCCCGTCGAGGCTTTCTTGATTGTAGCCGCTACCACCATTGGCATCATCGGTAAGTTTTGTTTTGTTACTTAGTTTAGTAACTCACCAGTAATTATTAAGCTCAAATTGATTGTTATATAATGAAGGGGAATTTTCAGCACTATAGTATTTTCCTTCTTACTTTTTAGCTTGATTATGAACATGCCCAATTAAATCTGTGGTAATTTCGATTAACTAGATTTATAATTTTTATATTCAGCTGGCATATTTCCTTGGTTGTAAATAGCAAAACTCACTAATCGTGACCAAAAAACAAACCTTTTTAAGTTGATCAAAGACCATAACGTGCAATTATATTTGTTCTGCAGGTGAACTTGTAACGGGGTTCAGAGGAGGACAGTTCGTCAACGTTGGCAACACGCAGCATATGAGCATGTATTTCTTCTTCGGCCTAATGGCGTTTGTCAACATCCTACTGCATTACAAGTGAGAAGCCAACGTTGCTTAAAGGCAAGCAGGCCGGTGGGTTCATTCGTTGAGATCCATCAGCCCATTCCTGCACTTTCTTCACAATATATAAAATATATTTCTTTCATTTTACTAGATAGGCCAGTCAAATGAGTCAAAATAGGCCAGTTAAGCAAAATATAAGCGGATGCAAGTTCGGCTGATAAAGAAAACCATAAAGATCGATAACATAAAATGTGAACAATAACAAGAAGCTGAGGGAATCTTCTCGATCTTGACTATCAACGTTATCATGCAATGCATTGGTTGACTCATGAGCATTGAGCTGACATTGCCTACGTGACTTAATTACGCAGCATAGTTATGCTTACGTGACTTAATTACGCAGCATTGTGATGCTTACGTGACTTAATTACGCAGCATTGTGATGTTTACGTGACTTATAGTTACACAGCATTGTGATGCCAACGCGACTTAGTTACACAGCATTGTGATGCTTACGTGACTTAGTTACCCAGCATTGTGATGCCAACGCGACTTAGTTACACAGCATTGTGATGCTTACGTGACTTAGTTACCCAGCATTATTAGGCTACACTAAGTTAAATATTAATTAACCTAAAATTGTCATTGGTCTGACACCACGCTAAACTTCAGCATTGCAGGTAAAAAGTTATATAAGTCAATTTTGCACACGAATGTTGCTTTCGATATGATTTTAATCCCAATTGTAGATTATATAACTAATTCAGCAATCATTTTTAAGAAGACCTATGTCATATCAAATTTCAAATGACCGGGTTCATATAAATTTCTACGTAATTAGTTCATTGTTTTAAGCGAGTAAAACCACTGAACTGCAAAATCAACGTATCATATATAGTTGCAATGTTACAAAGGAATGCAATGAATTCATATCAATTCTTAGCATTTGTTTCATTCCATTAAAAGTTAGATAGCATTTAAGGTAAGCTTGCTCTGGTTAAATTGCAAGCAGAAAAAAGGGATTATCAATTTCTATGTTCAGGTCCGTGGATAAACTCAGATTCATTCTCTTGTATGTGGATAAATTTAGATGCCATATATATAACTAATTCAGCAACCATTTTTAGGAAAATCTATGTAGCTAATATCTAATATCCAATAATTTTAATATCTAATAAAATCTAATAAAAAATATCTAATATCTGATCTAATATAAATAATATCTAATATCTAATAAATAATATCTAATAACTAATAATAATCTAATAATTCCGAATAATCAAGTTCAAATCAATATCTAATTAGTTCATTGTTTTAAGTGAGTATGTACAATTAACCATCGAAGTACAAAATCAACTCAACATATTTGCAATGTTGCCGCGGTATGCATTGAGTTCATGTCAATTCGTCGTATATGTTTCATACCATTAAGTTAAATAGCATTTAAAGGTAAGCTGGCTCAGATTAAATTGGAAGCAGGGAAGAGGGATTACCAATTTCTAACTCCGTGGATAAACTCAGATTTATCCTATCGTATATGAATAAAATTTAGATGTTAATATTGAAAAAAATATAATTTGCAGATTTTCCATCCCACCTTCAACGGACTACGCCGTGGCATTGCTCGCCATCGTCAACGAGGCTCTGTTATTTGCCAACCATCTTCACGGCCGCCCGCCCATGGACGTTCTGGTGAGAAATTGTTTGAAGGTTATCACTTAATTACTATTTTTTCAGAATCATGAAGTGTTAGACTTTATTATTTCTCTACCAGCTGATCTGTTTCACGCTAGCCATTCAAATTATGAACGGTAATTTTGATTGATCGGGACCATGTCAATGAATTTAGCATGCTGCATGTGTAATCGTATATACATAAACAAACACAGCAGCTGGCGTCACGACGAAAATTCTTGGAAGTGGCAGGTGTTTGTGGGCTTCTAGCAACTAGACAATTTTAAATTAAAAGGCCAGTATAAACCAAAATTCTAATTGCTAATGAATTAAGTTAACGTATGAAACAAAATTTAACCATAAAAATCATATTACAAAAATCACACCACGACATTAAAGACGATTCGAGCAGACAGCAGCTCCTAAGAGAAAAAAAGTTTACTCGAGAAAGCATGACAAGTTGTTGCAATTCATTTCAAGCAATAACCATTTATCTTGCATTGATTTTCCATTGAACCATGTCACATTAATGAGGGCAACGTGTGGGTCAAACTTTGATCAATCTCAAACTGTGAAAGTCAATAATATTCCAGAGCGTCCGTGCTTATAACGCGGAATTACTTGATATTTTTCAAGGCATCACTCACTCCACGCTCACTTTTTTTATAAAGTCAGTCTGGCGCCACCAACCAAGCTTTCTTTTGCATAATTCATGCGTCTGTTCCATTGATCGCGATGCATGCCCCAGGTGCGACTTTCAGAAGCAGGAGTGAATATCCGTTTGTTGAATAAACAATTAACATTTAATTTTTATATCATAAAATTTCCCCGTTTTATTTTATGTACGATAAAATTCGGCATAAATTGAAATATATAGAACATGATTATTTTTACCCTACATTTAACTTATTGCTTATAACTAATGACGAAGATAATTCAATTATCCATGTTCACAGTATAATGAAATTTAAAACTGAAACTTGGATCATGATTAGAAAAATAACAAACTCCAATAACTTTGAGCGAACAAACGTTCTAAAAGTGCACAAAAAAAACATTATATCCATTGATTTCCTGGTGGCTCAGGCGTAACAGGAACAACATAAACTGGATGTGATTAATAGCTTACATAAGCCAAGAACGAGAGATCCTGCATGTCCTTTAAGTAGATTCACATCCAAAAATATGCTCAAAATTCCGTTCCGTAATTTATACATCCGAAAAATCGATGACGTCAAATTAAAGTGAGCGTACGAAGCTTTACTTTTGCTGCACAAGTTGAATGATGCATCATTGACACATGAAACTGTACTGTGATCACGACACGCGCCCCATTACTGCGCCCGACACGCGCCCCATTACTGCGCCCGACACGCGCCCCATTACTGCGCCCGACACGCGCCCCATTATCCCGACACGCGTCCCATTACTGCACCCGACACGCGTCCCGTTACTGCACCCGACACTTATTCCATTCCTGCGTCCGACGCGACTGCGCAGTGAAATAAGTGTTAAATCGTCAAAGACTGAATGCGTAAACAAGAAACGATCAACTTATGTTCCGTTTTAGCTCTCGCCAAAACGGAACATAACAAGTTTTTATGAAGAATGGACTATTGCTAAGTTTTTTAACCTTGGTGATAGATGAAACAGCAAGCTGGTAGCGGGAAAAACTTCGCTAAAAAATCGACTGGCATGGAGTATGGACGGGCAAGAAACACAAATATTGAATTTGAATGTGAAAAATATGCATGGAAATATAACTAAAAAATACTGGCCCGAAAATACAAGCTCCGTACAAAGAGTATTACAGGTACAGTAAATTTGAAACGCAATGTGCTAATAAGAGACCCACACCATAACAGTTTATAGGCAGAAAACATGCCAGATAAGCTTCCCAAGAAAAGAAAATAAGAATTTTCGAAGACGGAACATTTATATTTTCTACATTTTAAGATAACTAAGAAATCCACAACATGAATTCATATGTGTGTCCCGATTCAACTTGATTGTTGAAGAATTATATTAGTTTTTACAATGAATCCATACATACGATTTTTTGGATACAGAGATAAACTATTAAGTCGAGGTACGTATCTCTGATATTAAACGGACTTCATGCGGCCACATGATTTTAAATGTCAAGATTTTTAAAAAGGTATCATCATTATATTGACATGTGTGGTTACTAATGCCAGGTGAATAACTAATCCTTTGCAATTGTAATATTTGACATCGTTGAAGAAACGATGAATTATAAAAAATAAAATTATTATAAAAAGTTATAAAAGAAAATTAGTTGTAGAGTATTTTTCAGTCTTTTAACTTAGTCTTAAAGTCTAAGTCAGTCTTTTCAGTCTTAACTTAAGTCATTCAGTCTTTTATTTTTGTAAAGCCTGTCACAGAGAACATAGTCGGAATTTCACCATCAATTAATTGGTGAATTATTATTTGGGTAAATTCTTTTTCAAATTAATTTTATTGGTATGTTAAGTTCGAGATATTAGTCCTCATTCGAAGGATGAGTCTGAATACACAGAAAAAAGACTGCAGGAATAAATAGCCTGACAAACTTTTATGGCTAACACAATTAATTTTACACATTTGCTAAGACAAGGCATTATAGAATTCAAATTGATTAACTCCTTGCTTGAAGGCTTGTTTAAAATTTTCTCCAGCAAACTATCATTGTAAATACCAAAGGTCGGAGTTTATCTGAACAACACCTAGTAGTGGTAAAAATAAGTGATAAAAATAAATAAAAAATAACCATACAATCTATGCCATAATATAATGCGTTTTAACGACGTAAAATATACGATTTCTTAGCGAAAAAAAAACCAACAAAATATTCAGCGGTTCATTCTCAACAAAAACACCGAATTTAAAAACTTTGCACCCATGGTGACCAGAAATTTTATCAGGAAGCAATTTATCTTTTAAATCTCTGAAAAATCTATTTACTTTATGCCTCTTCCTCGTGAATTATTCTTTCATTCCAACAAGCCGTGTTTTCTTTATCGAATGCAACGAAAATATCTTCAACCGTAAATAATGTTCATATTCTACAATGTTTAAACAACTCAATATATATAACTTGATTTAACAATATTCTAATTCCCTGACTTAAAATTATTGTAAGATTCTAGACAGAATCAGTCCCTGACACACTATGTCTGATAATTAGACCAGATCTGCTCATGAAAATTATATACATAAAAACTGGTCCACTAATTTTGAAAAAAATGCTGTTGGTCATTACTGGAATCAGCAAAATATTATAGTATATTTTTTTCAACGGGCAGGATGTGGAGGGGAAGCCCAGAGATTTCTTGTAATGTAGCTTGCGGCGATTCGAGGCAGGATTATTAAGTGAGAAAAAACTCACTCGTTGGTAAAAAAAAGCGGGATTTTACACCGACAAAAAAAATGGGCTGGGAATTTTAGTGCATGCTAAACAAAATGCCGGCAGGCTGGGCTTCTCCCAAGAAAAACGCAAGTCAGAGAAGCATTTATCAATAAACGATACTGATTACATTACAATTAGCTTCGTATAATTATTGATTATGAAGAATAATTTTCTGGATCAATATTCGCTAATTTAATTCATTTAATATGCTTTTCGCGAATCCAATTTAATTACGAAGGATATATGTTCATGTCATATGTTGTGAATTTATTTAATTATATTCAAAACATTTTCTTTGATTTAAAAAAGGAGTTCAGTTCTACTTGCCTTGTAACGAATAATTCAAATAATATATGGTCGAAAAGTATTTTCTCTACTCTATTATAAATTAATTGATAAGTATTGAAATTAATTGTAGAAATTCAAACAAATATTGAGAAGATTCGTGGAACGTAAGCATTTGAATCTGTATTTTAATTTACTTGACTCGTTCAGGTGCATACTTTGCTGCTGTACCCTATGGCCGCGTCACTTCTTTGTGGCGCAATAGAGATGGCGTACAGGTGTCAAGTGTTGGCAGCTCTTGGCAGGACGTACGGCACCATCGTGCAGGTAATGTGTACAGGCGGCAAGTGTTGGCAGCTCTTGGCAGGACATACGGCACCATCGTGCAGGTAATGTGTACAGGTGTCAAGTGTTGGCAGCTCTTGGCAGGACATACGGCACCATCTTGCAGGTGATGTGTACAGGTGTCAAGTGTTGGCAGCTCTTGGCAGTGAGTACGTCACCATCGTGCAGGTGATGTGTACAGGCGGCAGGTGTTGGCAGCTCTTGGCAGGATGTGTGACATTATCGTAGATGCAACATTACAAAGGCACTATCATATTAATGCCAAATATCTGCAGTGAGATCTTGACCATTGGTCTACAGGAATTGAAATAATTACTTGACAAGCACTTGCTGACAGCCACGAAGGCCGTTTAAAGGAATCGAAAAAAATGTGCAATCGGAGCTGCATTAAATGTTTTTGTGGGCCAGATGGCGATGCTTGCCTCGAGTTGTTGACTCTCTGGTGACCTCAAGAAGACTTTGAAGGTTAAAGTCTATCAGGGCACTCAACGCTAGGTACGAGAGAGACGTCACTGATTTTTTTCTAAACAACATATTGAAGTGAGAATCAAAACCCGTGCAAAATGTAATCAATAAAACAATATATCTCTTTTTAATTGTCTATTAATAATTTTCAAGGGGTTGTTTTCTTTGAATTGATGTAAATATTCTAGCAATAGAATTCAATTTATTTTCTCGTTACAGGGTACGTGGTTTTGCCACGTGGGTTTCATTCTCTACCCACTACCGGGCATGAGAGTTTGGGATCAAGAAGACCACTCCCAAATGACGGTCATCACCACCCTCTTCACCGTACACCTCGCCGTTGATTTAATCGTCTTGATGGTCATTGCTGGCATCGTGAACTTAAGGGTGCGGATGATGGATCGACCGAGTGTACAAAGAGTCTTGAAAAATATCAACGTTAGATTTATGAAAGATTCAAATGGCAGTAATGGCGATGCTACAAGAGCCATGATATCGGAGTCTGAAGACGAGCTATAAAAAAACATGAACTTTTATACCCAGTATGTTTAGAGGCATGCCTTTTGTAATTCGGTTTAAAAATTATTACTGGTACACCATATAGTCTAAAATGATTTTGAAAGCTCGCCAAATGTATGGTTATCAAAAATGATTCGGATGTAGAAATTATCGTACAGTCATGAGAAATTAGTGAATTAGGTCGAGATTACCATTCGATTCTAAACCTTCCTGTCAAATACATCATAATGATGCTATCTAGATGATATAAATCTATACTTCATATCTAAGGTGCTATACAATACAATCGTTGCCAACAAGTCTTCTCCAAAAAGTTGACTAAAGTATGATGCTGTGACTGGCAGAGATTCCAATGGTCCAAAATTATTAACGGACCTAACTGACACCAATGCGCTACAAGAATCCCTTCATTTTTCTCTCTAACATTACTTTAGTGCATTGGTAATATCAGATCAATCGTGCACTGTTAAGAATATAAGTTTGTTATGAATACGAATTCAGTAGATGTGTTTTTTCAATTACTTTCTTAGAAATTAAATTTAATTACTATTAAAAGATCTNTTTTCGCCGGCTTAGAAATTTGACAACAATTTGTTGTCAAATTTCGCTTAGAAATTTGACAACAAATTTATGCGTTGAACAGCGTTTACTAGTCCATTTTTGTACGGAAAAAAGTTTCGGTCCAAAATGGGTATTTGCTATAGCAAACAAAATTAAGTTGAACCATATATTGTACGTTTAAAAAATCTTAATGAACTCGGAGATCAAAATAAATGTCATGTTACATATATTATACATGTTTTATATACATTTATTATGAGAACAATGATTTAATTAATGCCTCAGTAACACATTTACATGGATACGTGATCAGTATTAATTGCAATATCCTAAATTTTGGACAATTTCCTTATATAAGAGAATCAGATAAGATGAATTTATGCATAAATGTTTCCTACATATTATGCGCACATATGTAAAGGAATGAAAAATTAACATGAAAAAGTGGTAAGATAAGTACTCCATCTGACAATTAATTAATTAATAATCGGGATGATCATTCAGATATTCGATTTCCTGACAATTGAACACAACACAAAATGAAAATAGAGCTAGATGCCGTGCAAGTGTTAAAATACGAGTCTTGTTTAAAAATATGGCGGAAAATACGCTATACCACGGCAGAGCTAGTTTTTTTTTATTGCAAACCAGTTTCGGAGAAAAGCTAATCTCAAGTTATAGTTTCACTATCTAAGAGTGTAGACTCGTCAAGTTATAATATATCTTTCTAACTTGAAGTGTGTCGTGGAATAGTTATAAATATCTACAGAAACCCGTCCTCAAATTATTTGTACAATGTTCTCTCATATTGAAATGCTTTGATAAATGAACTACCTGCATGATAAAGCATAAAATTATGTATTCCGTATCTTAACTCAACGCACGCCGTATTTTATCGCCGTATTTTACGTCATAAAACTGGTAAATTTCATCGCTGTCGAGTTGTGAGCGGCTCTCTTGACTCATCATTAGCATGAAATATGTGCTTCTGAAGCGAAAAAAAATTCTTAGTAACGTTTGAAGGAGTATCGAATACTTTTCCTTCATAATGGATTTCCAGGTCATGATTCATCTTCCGAAAAATATTCGATATGCTTTATTGGCTGTTGAAATAATAACTCGACAAACTTTCAATTCAATTTAATATTTCAGGTAATCGTTCCATAATATCTGAATCAATATATTTTCACGAATCAACGATTCATGAAGGATGAGGGCACATTATTAAATCGAAATATTAAAATTATCGAAGTATGTTTAGAAAATTAGATTTTAGATAGTTTGTCTTCTATGAATAATATACTGGAAGTAACGATTACTTGCGTCCTTAAAAAATGTACGAATACGGTTATCATGTTAATGTATTAATCAGACTTTGTTAAAGACCCCTAATGATTGATCATAACCGTCATGCTGCCACTTGTGTTCTTGCAAAACTGAAATTTGCTCTAAAAATTCGCTGGATGTAATATAATTGAGTAAATTTTTTTATCAACCAGGGAAAATACATGAGCAAATAAAAGTTATTGAGCTGCATTTCATGCTCACTTGCTAGGTTAATTATGCTATGAAATAAGGTATAAGGAACTAACCATACTGAAGTTGGAACTTTCGGCGACGACAACGAAGTGAGAAACCATTACAGAAAAACAAAAATAATTTTTTTTGCAAAGCTGTAATATAGATGGTTTCCTATCCAAATATATTTTGTCAATGTTCCATAATGGATGTCCCATCCATTGTCAATGTTCCACAATGACCTATTAATGAGTTGTTGGCAAATGTTCTATCCAAGGCAACTAGTATTAACTGTAGCAGTGGAACCTCATTTGCATATATCAAAAAATATAAAAAAAAAATCGAAAAAGCGTTTGGGAACGCACATGCATTGTGTTTTCTGAAAGATTGGGGCACCATGAGGGCGTGTGTGCGTGCGGTGCCACTAGGAAAGAGTGGAAGAGAACAAGAGGTGGCGCAGAGTGGCCAGAAAGAAGCAGGAGAAATGGAAAAGACAGTAGGAGATGAAAAGGCGCATTGCGCATAATTTGGTTGGTTGTAGGTGGTTGGGGTTGTTTGGGGCCGGGGAAGGGGGATGGGAACCCGTCGGGGCTTTGGATGCATCACCCATCAGGAAGGTAGGCGATGGGAGGTTGGTGGTACTCTATTTGCATATGTACATGCGTTCTTGCTTTTTTTATTTTTATTTATTTTTTGTATTTTTCTTAATGAATATGATAAGGGGGGATGCTGATAAAGGTGATTGATGATGATGAAGATGAAGGCGATAGGTGAGTCGCTGGAGACTCGGATGGAGGTAGACTTTTGGTTGGTCGGTATATTCTAAGTTTTTGGTTACGTCTTTACTGTACGTCACTCTCGGTGAGTAACGTGCGATGGTGTCATGAATGATTATTGTCTTGTTTTTGGACCAGCTACACCCAACCGTGATTAGAACAACTCCATCCGGGTGCAGCATGGTCCGCTGTGCAGTTATTTGTAGAGAGGTGGAAGTTGGGGACCTTGTGCGAGTATTTTTGAGCTATGGAATAGCCGGTGCTGCCTTGCTATATGGCGTGTGGGGGGAATGTGAGTTGATTAAAGAGTTGGGGATCATACGTTTTTATGGTGGACCAGGTTTTACGTGCACGTTTGTGGAGAACTGTGTTTATTGTGGGAATGTTGCATTGTTCGTGTAGTGTTTGGGAGGATATTAAATCGGACCAGTGTGTGTCTGTGATGCATTTCAGTGCCTTATTCTGGACTTTTTGCAGTTTGGATATTGCTGTTTTTGGATAGTGTGTGTAGGGGTATTGAGTTATTGAGGGATAAATGAGAGCTGACCTAACAAGGGTGAGGTATAGAGTACGTTTCATATTCGGAGTTTTTATTATATATTGTTTACATTCGGATTACATAGCATATAAATGCTATGTAATCTGTGTTGGGTAGTGGTGGTGGGAGGTCATGTGTGTAGAAGCTGTATAATGTGGGGGAGAGGCAGGGCCTTTGGGGGACACCAGTTTGGAGTTGGAGTGGGTTACCTACGTGGTTGCCTATTCTGATGGATGCTGTTCTGTCAGTGAGGTATAGTCTGCAAGTGTTTTAGCGAAGGATGGGTGAAGGTTGAGTTTGATGATTTTGTGTTGTAGTCCGGCGTGCCAAACCTTATCGAAGGCTTTGGTCACGTCGCGGAGAACTATGTCGGTAATGTGTTTTTGTGCTGTGTTTATAGCGAGTGTTTCGTGGAGTGTCGCCAGTGCTGTATGTGTCCCTCTGTGTTTCCTAAAACCGTGTTCGCGGTGTTGCCTAGTGTTGTGTATGTTGTGGATGTGAGGTGTTCATATAGTCTGTTGTTGAGTATTTTGTCTAAAAGCTTCCCATGTATGTCTAGTAATGAAATTGGTCTGTAGTTTTGAACTTGGTGTTGTGATGTGTTGGGTCTGGGGAGGAATATCATAATGGCGTGTTTCAGTGAGTCGAGGAAGTAACCAGTGCAGATGGAGTGGTTGAATATGTATAGAAGGTAAATGTATCATGTTTTTGGGTAGATGTTTGAGTTGGAGGGTTGTGATTCCAGGGGAACCGGGTGCTTTCTGTTTAAATGTTTTTAGTGCACGTGTAGTTCTCTGATGGTAATGGGTGGAAAGTCTATACTGGGTGGAGTCTTGCAAGGTCGACGGCATTGTATGGATATATGAGGTTAGCGAGTGTTTCGTGGAGTGTGGCCAGTGCTGTATGTGTCCCTCTGTGTTTCCTAAAACCGTGTTCGCGGTGTTGCCTAGTGTTGTGTATGTTGTGGATGTGAGGTGTTCGTATAGTCTGTTGTTGAGTATTTTGTCCAAAAGCTTCCCATGTATGTCTGGTAATGAAATTGGTCTGTAGTTTTGAACTTGGTGTTGTGATGTGTTGGGTCTGGGGAGGAATATCATAATGGCTTGTTTCAGTGAGTCGGGGAAGTAACTAGCGGAGATGGAGTGGTTGGATATGTATAGAAGGTAATGTATCATGTTTTTGGGTAGATGTTTGAGTTGGAGGGTTGTGATGCCAGGGGGACCGGGTGCTTTCTGTTTAAATGATTTTAGTGCACGTGTAGTTCTCTGATGGTAATGGGTGGAAAGTCTATACTGGGTGGAGTCTTGCAAGGTCGACGGCATTGTATGGATATATGAGGTCTTGTATGGTGTGAATGTCTTGTATGGTGTGTTCTTGATTTGGTCTTGTATGGTGTGAATGTGTTCTATTTAAAAGTCTTCGTTGTCTGTGCCGTTCTGTGTGAATATGTCCTGCCAGTGTTTTCAGAAGATGGGTTCTTTTTGTTCTGGGGTGTCGTGTTGAATGTTGTTCTGTTTGAGGTATGGTATGGTTTGTTTGGTGTTGGAACCTAGCATGCGTTTTAGGGAAGACAAGAATTTTTTGGGATCTGCTTGTGTTTCCAAAGTGTTGATGAGGTCCTGCCATGTCTGTGCTTGTACGTATATGTAAGCTGTTTGTAGTTGTTGGCGTAGGGCAATGAGTTGTCGGTTGAGTGCCCTACGCCAACAAGTGTCGGTTGAGTGCCCTACGCCCTACGAGTGTCGGTTCACACACACCGACCATCACTTGCACTTGTTGGAGTGTAGCTTGATATTGTGTTTGTTTGAGTAATGTTTCGTGAGTGGGTTTGATGCCGGGTATGATGCGATGTGTTATAGTGGGGATAGAGGTGTCGGTTGCGTCCTGCATGTGTTGTGTCCAGTTGTTTAAATGTGTATCTATTTCTTCTAAAGCAGGGTTTGTTTGTGTGGACACTGTGTACTGGGATAGTGTTTGTTTGTATTGGGTCCAGTTGGCTCTATGGAAGGATCTGCGGGGGCGAGTGGGAATTTGTATGGGGTTAGCAGAAATTGTGGCTATTATTGGAATGTGATCTGACGGTGTGATCGATGGGTCCTGGTTGTAGGTGTGTGTTGTGGAATGCTTTGCCGTTGGTTAAGACTATGCCTGGTGAGGTTGTGCTGTTGTGTGTGATGAGGGTTGGGAAGTATGGGCTGATGTCGATGCACTTGTTCCGGATGATGAGTGAGTGTAATTGTTTACCTATGTGGTTGGATGAAGAATTCCCTAGTGTGGTGTGACTAGCGTTTAGGTCTGCTAGGAGGTATACGGGATGAGGCCGATTCAATAGTGTGTGGAAGTCTATATGTAGTTTATGTAGCCTGTGCGGGGTGGTATGTATGTCGTTCCTATTGTGATGGGTCCTTGTTGGGTGTCAATTGTGATTGCGAGCAGGTCTGTATGGAAGTTGTCGTGTAGTTTGCATGGGATATGGCGTTTGATTGCGATGGCAGCACCGGAGTGAATTGTGTTGTCTTTATTGCTGGTGTGAACGTTGTAATTTAATATTTCGAGTGAAGTGTTGTTAAGTGTTGTTGAAGTGTTGTTATTAATTAGTATCATGTCTGGGTCTATATGGTTGTAAATGTTTGCATGAATGAATCTGTTGTTGTGCCAGTGATGGACGTTGTGTTGTATTATCTTTAGAGAGGGTGGGGGGGTCACTGTGATGGGTGTTGAATGTGGAGTGTTACGTCGTTTTGGTGGTTGTTGTTGAGTTTCTCCATGTTAGCGAAGGTGTCGTGAGGAATTCCTGGCGGGAGAGGCTGGCAATGTGGGCTTCCAATATTATGGCAGTCAGTTTTAGTTAAGTCTTGTCCGTCAATGTCAGGTTGGGTTGTGGATGTTGGTTTGCTGGATTGCATATAAAGCGATTTCGACGTTGGTTTGATTGGTCTTAGTCTTGATTGTCTCAGTCTCTGTCTGTTTGCGGGATGGACAATTGCGGTATGGCTGCGGTATGGCTGGATTTGCGGTATGGCTGAATTTTCTGTTTGCGGTATGGACAGTTTGCTACAAGTGTACGGTGGTCATTGTGGCAATTGAGACATTTTTTGTATGTGTTTGTGCATTGTATGTATGTGTGGTCCTTGGCAGAGCATTCTGAGCATGATGGTGTAATTGAGGTGCATTGGTGGGTTGGGTGATCTTCAATTTTGTACATTTGTAACAGATGAGAAGGTGTGTGCGTAATGTTCTTGCTCACACTGTGATGGAGTGATTTTGGTATTGTACATGTAAAATCCGTGGGTGAGAATCCGTTGTGCTATCGTGGTGTCTGTGATGATTATTTTGATGAAGTGTGTGTAGTGTTTTATTTTGATGACGTCTTGAATGTGTAGCCAGTTCTGTTGGGTTAAGACCTCTTGTTTGATTTCGGCGGGGCTGTGGCTACCTACGTCTTTGGCCAGTTGTCTAACAAAGATTGTCCTTTTCGCACGTTAGTAGTCAGGTGAAATGATTGGCGTCAGATTAATTTTGTTGAACAGTTCAGTCGCTTTTTTGAAGGTCAGTTTGTCGATTGCGGATGCGTCGTCTGTCACTGCGTAAAATCCTGAAGCAGTGTCGGTTAGTCGAATAAGTGGGGCGTCTAGTTCTTTGAATGTAGTTTGGAAGATTTTGGGTCGAACGGTGGGAAGTCTGAGGTCGATTTTAAAGTTGGATTCTATAGGTTTGAAGACTTGAGCGTTCATGAGGGCTTGGTGATTGATGTGATGATTTCGATGAGGATGAGGGAGGGTGACGTGATGATACAGATGGAAGTCGTGGTCGTGGTGGTTGGTTAGTAGTGGAGCCCTTAGCCCTCTGGGACGAGTCCGTCGGGTTCGGGGCAGAAGTGCCCCCTGGGTGAGGGGGCATGAGGATATGGGGATGGGGGAGCGAAAACACAGGTATATGATAGGATTGCAGTCGTGTGTACAATAGGAAGTTAGAGACAGAGACAAAAAAGAAACGTCACTAATTCCTAGCGACACTCACAACACGACGGCTGTTAATCCACGGTTGGAGGCTGCTGGTCCGAGGCTTCCAAGGGAGCACAAGTAGTCGGTCACCAACTAGTTGCCACGAAGAGACCTTGAGGGCGCTGGTATTTTCCAGCGCCCAGAGTACGTGCAGAATTTTCCTCCAGTCATATGAGTGCCACAGTGTGGAAAGGAGCTCGAAAAGCGTCTCTTGCCTCAAAATCGTTTCAGCTTTTGCTATGTCACAGGACAATCTTCCTGCTAATTCCCGAAAAATGAATCGTATCAATGAAATTAAAGCTTAATACTAAATTCAAACAACGGTTGCGTCTACAAAATTTTTAAGTGGAATCGGTTAAATTATTCTCCCATTATCTTTTTTAAAGTCGAAGTGGTGATTTCAACGATAAATTACCGTATTAAACTCAGGAATATCATGAAGAAAGTCTCAAGCTGATGAAAAAATTTCCATTTCGTGAGTTAAGAGTAGCAAGTTTGTTAATGTTGATTGACAAATGATGTGCTCTGTTAAATTTAACGATACCCATTGGATCGTTGCCCATAACATATATTGCCCCTAATGCTTCCTATATTTTTAAGAAATTAACTTCAAGTATAATTGAAACATGACAGTAAAAAAATGTACGTATTTTTATATACAATTTATCATATACATTTATAATTATGTCAAAATAATTTCAATGTTATTGTTCGAGATATAAAAAATATTACTACGAGCTTTTACCTAAAGCAGTTGAAAGGTTTCTGTTCTATTGAACAGAAACTCTCTGCCGAAATGCTTCTATTCAAGCATAGCTGAATACCTCCAGGCGAAAAAAATTCCGACAATTAATCAAACATGTTGGCGCACATTTTGGCAGAAGTAGCACCGGAGATAACAATTCAGAGGGATTTTTCAACTCACAACTTTTCATTAACTCACAAAAAATTCTGAAAATTGGTTTTGTGGTAGAAGTAGGTCGTAGATTAGTTGCATGAAAACTAAATAACACTGTAAAGTTGAATAAAGTTAATATGGGTATCATTTTGAGTCTAATTTTTCTCGAGGAATATGTACCAAAAATAATATGAAAGTTTTCGTTTAATTATAGCTTTGCAATAGAATCAAGGGTTTATAATTTTAAGCAAATTATCTTGAATATTTGCATCTTAGATTAACATCTCTGAGTGCAGCAACATTTTAAGTGGGGTGCTAGTGTGAGATTTGTTGAAAGAGGATGCGTGTTAAATTTGTATAATCCAGATTTACTAAGATATTGAGAGGCGTTAGTTAATTTTTGTTTGACGTAACAGTTAAAATTTATGGGACAATTAATGAATAAGGTAGTGAGAAAGGTTGTGACTCACTAAGCTCGTTTTTCTTTATTCCAGTATAAATCTCCCCCAGTCATTAGATATCAGAGTTCATCTCCTCAAATTTATTTATTCCATGAAGATATAAATTATTTTGTTTAACCATATAAGGCAGGAGGAAATCTTTGTCATTCTCTCTTTAAGAACAAAAGTCCCGCTGCGGGAAATTTTCCTGTTAGAACCTCGCCATTATGGAGGAGCAAGCGGCAGTGGATTTCGTACATGAGAACGGACAGCATGTAATGGATCCTGGAGCAATCGAACGCGGTGGTTTAAACCATTCAGCACTGGAAGCGCTGCTGTTGGATCCTGGTACATTAGGCGGACATGTTATTCCCGGTTTAATGTTACTGCTTTTCGGTTTTTTGTGGACCTTCAACATCCTTTACAAGTACCACGTGGCCAGAAAAGGAGCTATTTTGCTTGGCAGAAGCAATTACACATTGCATTATAGAAGCAGGCTCTTTTCAACGCACCACACTGGCCACTGTACTAATTCTTCAGTCGAAGCCTACGTCATGGTGATTTGTACAACGCTTGGCTTCATTGGTGAGTATTTATTAATTTGCGCCTCGCAAACTAGGTCATTCTAACCCTGATTATTGTTTCTGAAAGAGGGCATGATTTCCTGTTAGGTTTATAGATGATTGCGAAAATCTTGATCCGGTTTTATTCATGATCATGATTCAATATTTGTATTTTAATTTCAGGAGTTTCAAAAGAAACGAAGGAGTCCAAACTAGCCTAAAAATGGCCTCTTTTCGTTCAAATTACCGTTGTTAATAAGTGTGCCTAAACGTATTTCTTCTTCGTGCCACTGGCACTTTTACTTAAAATTTATCATGTTTTACGATATTAGTTACAAACCATAACTTATTCGTTCAGTCGTGAAAATCAAGAAGACAGTATAGCAAAAAAATGAAATCTGAAATTCTCCTCTCAATTCTAACTTTCCATTTGAATTTGGCTGTTATTTACGATATTTTGCGTGGAAAATATGAAGCCCTAAACTGTTTCTTTGGTTGCAGGTGAAATCATAATGGGGTTCAGTGGAGGCGAGTTCGTAGTGATATCCAACACGCATCACATGTGCATGTATTTCTTCTACGGGCTGACAGCCCTCACTCACATCCTCATGTGCCGCAAGTAAGTCGTGTCTTTTAGGCATCCATTTCTGCATAATAAATAAATATTTATGTCTAAACGTTCGAAAAAATTTTTCATTAATTTAAAAAAATTATTTTTTACTATTTGACGGCGAACTATGGTTAAATAAATTTCTTTCTCATTTCATTATATCTCTGATTGATTAGTTGATGCTTAATAAACAGAGCAGGTGGTACGACAAAAAAAAAATCTCTGATAGCAACAGAATGGAAAAAATTCCATTTTATATACTTTCCCATAGGAGGTCACCAACGACACATTTCAAAATGATTACTCTTACTTCATATTGAGATATAGGCTTTAAAACAGGGATTTCTTAACAAGCATGTGATACTTCCGTTGCATAAAAGTTATGAATGACATTTCGTTCATTCAATTGTTCTTCGCGATTCTTGGATTTGAGTTAAGATTCAAAATTAAGATTCAAATAATCGTTAAAATTTCCGTAATTATTGCCATTTTTGCACCGATGATGCTCAGGCATCCCATCCCTGCTGACTCCGACTACGCGATGTTCATCGTCGCATGCATCGTCAAGGCGCTGCTGTTCCAGGGCCATGTCAACGGTCGAGAACCGATCAATGCTCAGGTCAGGGAGCAACGAGAGTTGTTGAAAGCGAGCGACGATCACTGATAGTTGACCAAATTCACGTACGCTGCAAAATTCAAGCTTTCATTTAAAAATTAAAATTCAAGGTCAGGGAGCAACGAGAGTCGTTGAAAGCGAGCGACGAGTTGACCAAATTCAAGCTTTCATTTAAAAATTAAAATTCAGGTTAAACTTCACATTCATCTCGTAATCATCTCATAATCACGCAAACCTGATCACTGTCATGTGGGTTAAAAACACGCAAGTCAGTTTTCAAAAGGCTGAAAAACAGCTAGACGCTGATGTAAAATACTATGATAAATACTTTTTTGAATGAAAAATGTGTGAAAGGAAGACGCAGCTAGCTTCAAAAACCATTTGCAGAATATATCGATATACAGCGTTAACAAAATTATTTAGCTCAATTAAAAAATTAAGACAGATTACTCATTTTCAAGAAGGTAAACGATGAACTAACTCAAAGGACTAATGTCATTTTGGATCGAGTTTCTTGTAAAAATTTGTAATTAGTGATAGAGTTGTGCTGGGGCTGCATAATTAAGGCTGTGGGTTGTTGTACATCTCAGCATACCAGCCTTTGATATGATATGATGTAGTGGAGTACATCCAGTTTAGATAAATTTACAATCTTTTTCCAGGTACACATGTTTCTTGTGTACGCTATTCTTCTGACAACAATGTTCACGCTAATGGAGTTGGCTGCTCCTCGCAACGTTCTTCCCAGCCTTGGAAGAACCTTCTGCATTCTAGTCCAGGTAAAAATAAGACCCAAAATATATTATTTTTCATATGTGAATCCTCATCTAATTAAGTTGGATATTTATCAATTAGGTGAGCTAATTGGTTATAACATTTTGAAGTTGATGATGTCGCTAGTAATCGACTAATATATTCAGCAATCGTCGATTCTTAGTGTAGAATGCTTCCCTGCACATATGTGGACCATATTAATCTTATTTATACATTGCACATGAGCAAGCATACTCTTTGCACTTCGTATCACTTTTAATACCCAGAATTCAGATATTGGGATCCATCTCAGGAGAGCCATATAGCTTAACGAAGTATGTTATCAACAGCGTCTTAAATTGAATTAAAATCTTCTCAATAAACCTTAACATTAAAAAACTCTGTCCAGGGTTATTGGTTCTGCACGGCAGGCTTCATATTGTATCCCCCATCGTTCATGCCAACTTGGGATGACCACAACCGAGCACAAATGGCGCTGCTACCAACGTTATTTGTCGTCAACATTGCTGTGACATGTGTAAGTGCACTGGCAATTAATTACGTCGTAGCGTCGCGCGTAAACTCTATTAACGCGCAAACCATAAGCCGGATTTTGAACAATTCTGAAAAGAGAGGTCCTCATACGTTGTTAAATAATGAAACTGGGAAGCCTCTGATTTCTGATTCCGATTGTGAGTGCTAGAAAATATTTGGCTGTTCATGTTTTTGTGAGACGTAGTGATAAGGCAAAAATACGAATAGCCATTAATAATCTTTAATCGATTAAAGTAGATTCGTGCAAAATGAAATATTATATAAAAGGTAACTAAAATATATAAGCTAGTTTCGTTCACTGTGCTGTTATTTATAGAGTATTTTATTTAACATATTATGCAGTACTAATTCCACGCACTTAAAATTCGTCACGGTTTTGAAATGTAATTTTAAGTTATATGTTAAGGGTAATTACACGAATGTACTCATTACACTGAATTTGAGATTCAATAAACTTAAATATCAACGAGTAATTTTTGCAGTGATCAGACAGAACCTGAAAAAAAACTCATGCCATGCCAGCCTGCAAAAAACGTATTGAAAAATCTTGACGGAAAATATTGCATCTATCATGGTACAATAAGATAAATGGCTTCTCGACCTATTTGGGTTCAAAAAAGTAATTATTGCACGAAGAAGGGCGTCAAGGATATTGGCAAATTCAAGAATTTATGTCGACAGAGAGATGTATATTTATGTGTAAGAAGTGCATATGAGGCACGTGTGCAGCAGCCAGCATAGTCCATAAAAATTTTTTCTCATGCTGAGAAATATTTTGTTTAAGGAAGCCAAGATAAACACGCACCATATGACATTGGCATTATCACTGATGTATAATGCAATAACTAAAAAAACGGAGATCACACCATACGGAACAGTTTTGTTCACGATATTTGAAATCACTCGTTGGTAATCCTTGTAAAAATTCTAGTTAAAGACTCGCCTAAGTCTAATCCAGTAACGAAGATTACATTAGAAGACTTTTTTAGGTTTCTAAGGCATTAGGCAACGCCATTTAGTAAATATTATAATTTTATCAAATTAAATTCTTTTATAGGTAAGACCTGCAAAATGAACTATGTAATGTATCGCGTAAATTCCAGTATTATACTTGTCCTTCGACAAAAATTAATGCTGGAATAAATATGGGAATATCCTATGAAAACTAACCAGGTTTTTCAAGTTTCTTCGAGAACTGTGGCTTCCCTGTTTTTTAGGATAGTTTTTCATCCAAATTCGACATATCTTCGAGCGCTCCTCAAACCTGGAAGAGCTTGCACCCGCGCTGCGTTGAGTCCCTGCATCGCTTAATCGTTGTGTTGTAAAAACTTGCGCATAGGCTGGATGCGATGAGCAAAAACTGGAACTTGGTTGAAGCTTGTTACTTTCTCCGTTATCTTATTATGAAAATTTTAAAATGATAGCAGTTTTGAAATGGTTTATATTTGTATTAAATGTTATTTCGGTTTCTTTTTTTATTATCATTATAATAATAAGAATATGGCTCTTTGTTCGGGGGATTGTTCGGAACGAAAACTCGTTGATGATAGTAACGGTTTCTGAAACCAAAAGTTGACCATTTTGGGGGCAAATTTGGGGTTGTTGAAATTTTTAACCATTTTAAGGTTTTATTCCGGTTAACCGACCATTAAATTGTTCTTACGTTATTTAATTATTACGTTCCCAATTTGTTGACCATTTTGGGCAGGTGCTGTTTAAAGACTGAGTTTTGCCTGAGCTTGTCGACTCTGGTGCTACCTAAAAGGTACAAATAATATGTACACGGGAGTAGAATGCTCCGTAGAAAATTCCTTATAGCTTGTGACACGAATATCAAACATACAATATAGGACTTTTAATAAAAATAGAATGATATCATAATTAATAATGGCTTAAAATTTCAAATTATCGCCATAATTACAATGGAATAATAAAAATTAAAAATTATATTCTACGATGGTTGGGTCAGCCATGCAGGTTCGTACAGAAGTAGCTACTCAGAGTATTTTTCGAATATTGGGATGGTTCGGCAAAAGCTTTTCTTTTTTGCAAGTTTGATTGAAAACCAGAGCATGCTTTTTATTAATAATTTTTATGTTCGTTTTTTCAATGAGTCGAACAAAATTTCTACGCTGGCGCCATGCAGGATATCAAAAAGCAGGTTACCAAATGACATTTTAATGGAGTGCAACTCATCGAAAATACAATTTTCATTATCAAGCAGGTGAAGGTTTTGCAACACTTGAAGTTGAACTTTGGAAATTCATTTTTTTGTTGAATTTTATACAATTATGTGTTACTGAAATTAGCAAACTATGTAGTGAATTTTAGGTAATGAGCTTAACAGTAGTTACAGACATAAGTGATCAACGAGTTTGAAGATTTAATAAATGAATTAAAATTATGAAGTTCACAGAAATTAGCGAGAGATAATAACTCAAGTCGCTACATAGTCGTTACATCGCCTTGCTTTTGCTGAAAATTACACTACAAATTCCATCGGCTATAAATTGAGAATTTTAATTTTGGAGATAAATGTTAGGAGCACATTAGTGATTTCTTGTTTAATCATTATGTCCATTCGATGATGCATGGTCGGAGTACTTATCATTCTAGAGTTATATTGCCTCTAAATATTTTGTCATTGGTTTTTCTGGAAATTGGTGACTCTCCTCTATGGCAAAATGAAGCAATCAATGACCGAACTTTCTCATTTGAACGCAAGAACCATGTAACGCGTAGCATTAGCATTGCCCTTGTGGTTATATTTAGAGACATCGTTCAACAATGAATATTTTATACTGGCGTAAAATGATACTTTAAATAACGCGCAACCTAAATTAAGATGAAGTGTCGGTGAAATTTTACACTCGGACTTATCAGAATCGTCCCGTCCTGCAGTCATGCTTTGGTAGTGATTTTTTTCATCTTTATCTTCAGTCATAAACTTTCTGCTATTCCGGAAGCTTATCGATGAGCACTTTTTATGCAATGAAATTGATGCATAGACCTGAAATTAATTTCAAATTTTTGATCATGAACTTAGGTATATTCTCACTTACAAGAGTTTAACAAATAAGAAAAATCATAATTGCTCGAATCGTATAACTTGGGAAAAATAGAAATGAAACGTAATAACACAGTCTAAGTTTGAGTAGAAGATTCTGAAAAAATCGTGTGCAAAGTTTCATTTAAATTTGTACAGTAGTTAGAGAAATACTCGTGATTCCTGCGAGGCGAATTCAAGGACGTATCACCGAATAACTTACGAGTAAGAGTTGAGCCGAAACTTAAACTGTTCTAAGATCTTAATTTGACCGGAATACTGTTATGAGTTTATTTCCAGAATTTCATATTCATGTTTCCACAGTCTTCATGAAATTCTCGGTCCCTGAAATAAGCCTGAGTAAAATCCACAATACTGGCCGCAGAAATGCTCGACGTTGATGATGTTTTTCAACTTTCAATCCAGTGAGGATATGAGGCATTAACCAGTCAATAGAGCTTAATGATGGTGCATAAATTACGCATATACAGGTAACAGCATTCGAATTTATCTTAAAATAATTCGCACTCTTAAAGATTAAACATATAAAATGAGACATAAATATTAGAAATTGAAAAGTACATTAACTCCAAACCAAGTTAATAATTTGGTAATTTTAAATATTGCATTATGTACTGAGGATGAATATTCATGAGAGACAAATGTTTTGCCTCAAATGTTCAGCTTAGTGCCCCAACAGATCTTATTCTAATCTTATTCAAACAGGTCAAGGTGAGAAAGAGAGACAGTAGATTGTAGGCACCATGCATGCTTGAATGTCTCACTAATAATTCTGCATTTTGACAAATTATATTCAAGTAGTCGTAAGTTGTAAAATGAAATTAAGAATCAGCTTATATATAGGCGCACTCCCCGGGGAGCTTCTAGCTATATGGGCCTACCTACAGGTCCTAGAGTGGCACCTCCTTGATCTCACCAGCTCCAATTTCTTGTGCATTAAATTTCAAGGGCATAGTCTGGATGACGGGTTCTTGTCACTTATATAGAAGTTCTGCAGAGTTCCTCTGCAGTTACTTGAATGCCTCAGTGGTAGNCTGTCTCTTATACACATCTAGATGTGTATAAGAGACAACTGTATATGCGGTCTGTGTCGCGACTGCACACTCTACCTCAAAGGAAAAATGGCTGACTGGCTGAAAATTTTTGATCCCATTATTTGACCTAAAAATTACTTATTCATAAATGAAGAACGCTCACGATAAGTACACGACCGCGTTCGTTTTAGTCCATGGCATTTCGGGGAGAAAAAATAATGTTCAACGATGATAATTAATAGATGAGAAAAAATTCTCATCGAAGAAACACATCCGTCATCTTCGAGAGTATCTTCTGTGGTTGAAATACACCAGTGATTCAACCACAATTATTTATTATAATGTAGGGGTCTGACATCTCTGTTTTGTAATAGAGCGTCAATATTATAGGAAACAACATATGTGAGACGCTCTCTGTAAAATTTCTTATCGAATTTGGTGATATGGCCATGAGAGAACCGAATCTTCATTCCAGTTACATGCGCAATTAATAAAGATGTGCCGCCGAACTGGCCCAATCTCGCCTTGCAGCATTCATTGAAAAATATACTTTTTCAGTTTCTCTTTATGGTCTGCGTGTACAGACCACAGGCTATACAAAATTTTTAGTAATTTAGGAGCCATAGTTCTCAGAAAAAGTTTTCGACAAACGAAACACATAAAGAAAAAAAATTATATAAATCCTATATAATTATCAAGATTTTTTTTTTGCATTTGAAAATACGTACATTCATGTGCCCACTTGTACCTAGAATTTTACGTTTTTATTTAACTATAAGGTTTTTTTTAAGGAGGTTTTTATTTAACTATAATTGACTAAATAAATGGCATGCAAATTATCCTATCTAAAACCTTGGCACAACCAATTTAAAACTGGTCGTGGCATGCTGCTTTGTCGTCACAAGTTATTGCTACGTACAACAGCTTTAATAAACACGTAACCAATCTTTAGTACATTAATTAGCAAATTGAATTGACGAATCCCAATGCAAAATTATCCGGCCAACATATTAGTCACAATTATTTTGTCTCACAAATTTACATTATATATCTACATACCAAATTTTGAAAATTGATCCAAATATAAAAACCGATCAGATTTATCTTCAACAGAAGTCAAATTTTATGTTCACTTCTGTTTATCTTCGAATCTTCTGTTTATCTTCTGTTCTGTCTTTCTGTTCTGTCTTTCTGTTCTGTCTGTTCCTTCGAAACTAAAATCGCATATAAACCTTTGACTCTGTGAAAACGTTATTTCTCGTAAGTATCTGAAACATTGCGTCTAAATACACTTTGTTTTTCCTCAGTAATAAACTATTAGTACAATGGATCCCAGTATTGGGAAAGGACCAGTCTCAAATCATTCCATGCATCCAGAAGCAATTGGACGTGGTGGTATGACCCATTCAGCCCTGGAAGCTCTGCTGCTGGATCCAGGGACATTAGCTGGACATGTAATCCCGGGCTTGCTGTTCATGTTCTTCGGCTTGTTTTGGACCTACAGTATCCTTTACAAGTATCACGTTGCAAGGAGAGGAGCCATTCTGCTTGGCAAAGGAAGTTATAAATCTAGTCATAAAAACACCCTCTTCTCGACTTATTACGCTTGCCACTGCACCAACGTTTCAGTGGACGCCATCATCGCCTTCGTCTGCGCTATTATTGTTTTCATTGGTGAGTAAGGTTACATTCGAATTATTTCTTATTTTAGTTCCTGGTCCTGTTCTTCTAACTCACGTTATTGATAGTTTAATTTAATTGTCTTCAATTTGAATATGCAGTTCATGATGTTTCCCCAAGCGATGATAAAATGTCCAAAGCTGTAATGAAAAAGGTCGGAAAAAATACATGATCCTGATCACTAAATGGTCGAAGCTAATGTTTTTCAAATATTCAAAGATATGAGAGATTTTCATTTATTCGATGTCTGTTTTAAATCAAGCCAGTTCTTGATTCGTTATCCTTTTTATGACATTTATTGTGAAGCTGAAGATCAACGTATATATCGCTGCCTAAATAATCAACTATGAATTACGAGTTTCATGTAACAAAATTTTGACTGTAGAATATAATAAATAATTCAAGTCTTGAACAGCCGTCTGGTTGCAGGTGAATTTATTTGGGGGTTCAGAGGGGGCGAGTTCGTTGTGATGTCCAACACGCATCACATGTGCATTTATTTCTTCTACGGGCTCGCTGCCTTCATTCACATCCTCGTGTGCCGCAAGTAAATCATGTCTTCCAAATCTAAAGTATCGAAAAGTAAATGAAAATGTAAATTTCGAGCAAAAAATTTCAGTGTTGACGATTTTTTTTATTCTTTAAAGCACTATGTAAAGTGTCAAGTAATTTCACATTAACACACGTCACTATGACGTTATGTAGCTTCTTTTCTAGACTGGCTGAGCATAAAGGGAGGAGTTACAAAACCTGTCACATGAATCCACTTGTTCTAGCCCACATGACGTGTACATATATTTCTTCGACTGCTTGAAGTGACGATAAACCTTGATTAATAGACGGTAACTTTTTTGCTTTTATCTGCTGCTTATCACTAAAAAAACTTATTTATTAAAAAGTTATCCATCATTTATCGTTGGAAAAATTTTTTCTCAAAAATATATGTTCTTACCTCTTAACATTACATTAATAACAAGTGAATCTTGCTAAATAATTATAAATTAATTTTAATTTGGAACTTATCATTACCTATCAGGCATCCCATCCCTGCTGACTCCGACTACGCGGCGATGATCGTCGCATGCATAGTGGAGGCGCTGATGTTCCAGGGCCACATCGATGGTCGGGGACCAATCAATGCCAAGGTAAATTAAATAGACTTAATTCTTTGTTAAAACCGTCGTTATAGATACTGTTTGCTCTATGCACTTTGCCCTCGTCTTTTAACTGAACTCCCCTTAAATTAAAACAGTTCTTCATACTTTGAACAAATTTTATGAGCTGCAATTGCTTGATATTACTGAAAATCTCGCCTGTTTTGATATAGACGTCTGTCTAAAATTTCTCATAGATACACATGTTGCTGGTGTACACTGTTACGGTGTCGGCCGGTTTTCTGGTGCTGGAGATGGCTGCGCGGCGCAATGTTTTAATCTGCCTTGCGAGAGCTTCAAGTTTTTTAGTGCAGGTAAAACTGAAACTAATTTGAAAAACATAAAGTAAAATGTCAACATTTACGCACCCCAAGTTTATCAAACTTTAACCTTCCTGTTCGTCGATCTTAAGACGTCAAGTTCACTTCTGATCATTGAGCTACATATATTTTAGTATGTGACCCTCACAAATGCACGCTAAGCGTTAATCTTGCATACAAAAAACTCAAAATTTGATCCCGTTCTTCTTATTACTTGTACTGAAAATTTCCTAAATAATTATTGCTGGCACCGTATAATGGCAGGTTTCATCTTGAGGTCAATGCAATTTTTTTTTAATTTCGGTTACAGTTTCAAGTTACACCTAATTAGGACCAATAATTATGTCGGTCTATTAAATCAGAATCACTTCATACATACATACAAACTGTCGGCATTAACTGAATTTTGGCAACACTAACCATACGTGCATTTACAGGGCCAATGGTTCTTCACGGGAGGCTTCATCTTGTACCCTCCATCGTTCATGCCAACTTGGGATGACAACAGCCGACCACAAATGGCGCTGGTAACAACGCTATTTGCCGTCAATATTGCGTTAGCCATTATTGGCACATTGATGATGAATTATTCCATTGTTTTGCGAGTAAATTGTATGGATGCGCACACCATCAGTCGGATTTTAAACAAGTCGGATATGCGGAGTCAAATAAATTCATTGCCAAACATTGATCCGGGGAAGCCGCTGATTTCAGAATCCGATGGCGAATGCTAGGGAAAGCTTAGAGCTCACGTTTCTGATAGACAAACATTAGAGCACGAACAGTGTGTTAATGCGATACGCCCATTTGCCAAGGCAGACCTAATACTGTTGATGACCAGCACAAGCATTTCTTTGAGTTAGCGAGCCTTTGAAAAATTGCGCCTGATAAAGTACCATAAGGAAAGTACTATAACAGCCTCCCTGATTACATCGTTGGCGCTTGAACGCGCTTGAACGCGTTGGCGCTTGACTTGAACGCTTGAACGCGTTTAAGTGAACTAGAACGCTTGAACGCGTTCAAGAACAGACTAGATAAAGCTATGGAAATATAAATGTTCAGACTTGAAATGCCTAGCACCATGTCGAACCCGGTGGAAGTCCAGTAGCTATTTCAAACTATCGTCAGTCTTGAAAAGATCCGGTCAAATGACACGATTTTAGATCTTCTGTAAACAAGTCACGAAAAGTTCAAGAATCGGCGACAGGCCACATCAGACCTACTTTTTAGCGCCGACATCACTATGTTATGTTATGTCATGTAAGGAACGTCATCCATGCCAACATTCTATGGATGCAGCATTACAGATAACATTGATGTTGCTTTTATGTGGGACTGTGGCTTCCAGACCATTCAGAGCTGCACTTAATTGAGAAGCAACAGATGGATCAACTTTTATTTCATTAAATATGAGATTTTATTTATTTATTTAATTTTGTTTATTATGCCTACATTGATCAACATTTAAGAAAGGCCCAACTGATTATCACTTATATCTTGGCTTCTTGTGAAAACAATCAAGTCTCGTACTTGTTCAAAATTAAAATAGCGAATTAAATAACTAGATCGCATAGCGAAAACAGAAAGGTGGCGGGCATTAATGTGAAAATTTGTGTAACTTTTTGCATTGTCAGCGTACTCTTTTGTTGTTTGAGGATAAGAACCAGTTTAAAAAATCATAATTCAAGTTTACATGTACAATAGTACATGCTTAAAAATTTTACCGTTTCTTTTGTTGTTTTGGTTTTAAATTCTTCCGTCGCGAATTTGATTTTTAGTCCACCGTTACGGCCAATTAAACCTCTCTCTTGGGAATGTTTTGGAATGCAAATTAAACAACCCAACGCCACAATCGATACATGATTCTGTCCGAAATAGTTTCTATTGAAATGCTCTTCGGTTTACGTTAAAGGGTTAAGTGACCCTCTGCATCTATTGAGATAATTCAATTGCCTATCTACTACCTTAAGCTCACGAGGTTCTCGCCGCAATGTTGGCAAATGTGAGAGTGCATTCAGAAAAAGAATGACTCATACTGTCCAAATTATGAGACGCTTTGCGCACGCAACAAGCATACGCACTTTGCCATATCAAACTAAGATGACCCAAACAAGGGCAAAAGTGCATCGGTATTTGGACGAAGATTCCCTCGTTTCTGTGAGTGTGGAATCAAGAATATTCGTCACGACGTAACTCGGTTCAAAAGTTGAATGAACGAGTCACATCACATAAACGCTGGACAATCATCACCTCGTACAGAGAAATTTCTTTCCCAGCTACCATGCCGCTAGATTCCATCAACATTCTGACCTTGCTGTAAGACGTCGCCAAAGTTCTATCTCTACTGTAAAAAACAAATACGATGTTCGAACACCAACGTAAAAATGGGTTCGACCTTTATTTTAGGGGCACGCTGGTCGTAAATTATAGATAATACTGACTGTTTTTCATGCGACTCGCTTGGAATGCAAAAAAAATTTAATAAGTGGACGTAGAATGGAAAAAAGATCAACCCGCTATTTTAGCACCGTGTCAGTGTAAGGAGCCGTATCGACTGAACTACAGAATCTGGACAATAATAGATTTAAATATGTCGAATATGATATGTAAAGAATGATTTGGAGGGAAAATGCACTTGTTATTGTTCTACGAAATATAAGAAAAGAGATTAAAAGTGAGTTCTAAATAGGCTTCGAACACATCCACTAAAAAACTTTCTTGAACCTTTTATTTATTTATATAGACACATTAAAATTCAAAATACGTAACTTTTCATTCTGATAATTCATTGATTTTGGTATTCAATTGCACGCTTAGAAGAAATGAAATTTCATATTTCATAAAAAAATAAAAGGTATTAAATAATATTAGTTAACAAATAATATTAGGTAATAAATAATATTATTTAATAAATAAAAATAGCCAAATGAAAATTCTTCGATATTATAACAAAGATTAGACAGTAGACGATAACCTAGCTCCAGTTAAACCTTTATTTACAGTGCCGGAAATGGCTATGCGACCACCCAGTTTTCTCCAAATATTTTTTCTTGTACAAAAAATACGTAATTCTAATTATACGACGTTAAACTACGCTTAAAATCGGTTCCGACGATATGCGAAATAAATAATTTTCTCAAAATATATGAGAAGAAATTATGAAAATTAGAAGAACCTAGGTGGAAATAGTTATGAGACCACGATAGGTTTTTTTCCATTTTAGTATATTTCTGAAATATTTTCACTTTAAAAAGTACAGCAACATAAAGAATATTCTGATTTTCGCTATTTAGGGCACTTCTGGTGTATTTCAGTGTCGTCACTTATATTTTTTCCAAGTAAAAAAGATACCAAAGGGGACAAGACTCACAGAGGACGAGAAGGCGCAGATTTTCGCCTTTGTGAAATGCAGTAGAAGCTAACGGTACATCGCAATGGGAAGAAAACGCTCAAAACCCATAGTACCATCAATTTTTGCTAATCCGGTCGTCTACGGACGAAAAAATCACCCTGGACCCACCCCAACATTATCCGACAGGGTTCTTAGGTGACAGCACGACGCATCCGTCAGATATTGCATGACTCAAAGAAATTCAAGAAAAGGAAGCGGAAAGATGCCCCCATATGCTCAAACAAAGGCATATTGTCAACCGACTAAAATTGGATGAAAAAATGTGCTTATTGGTAAGGTTGAGTACGGCTATCCTTCGTTCCTGGGATAAAATTCCTCAAAAGGCTCTGGATTATTTGGTAAATCGCATGGGGAGACGATGCATTGAGGTAATTAATTAAAGCGAAAGGAGGTTAGATTGCCTATTAAAACGAGTGTATGGGATCTAAAAACGGAAAAATATATCATGGTCTTATAACCATTTCCACCTGTGTTTTTCTAATTTTCATCATTTCTTCTCATTAATTTTGAAAAAAATTATTTTTTTTTTCGCATAGCGTTGGAACCGTTTTTAAGCGTAGTTTAACGTCGTATAATTTGAATCCCGTATTTTTTGTGCAAGAAAAAATATTTGGAGAAAACTGAGTGGTCTTATAGCCATTTCCGCCACTATACTTGCGTTACTTTATCGGAATCTATCTTTTATCGTACCGGTAAGAGAATAATTTTAATAGAAAATTTTGACTGTAGGTTTAGATTTAAACCTTCAAAATATTTTGCACGCTACCAAAGGTAACAACTCGTTAATTTTCAATTGTCTGAAACCATTCGGTTTCAGTCACGGTTGAGCTGTGTCACAAGACGGTCGTGCGTATTGCGCGGGCTCAAAACTGGCCTTGCACTATGCCGGTTTACCTCTATTTATGCATTTTGTGCTGAAGTCTTTCAGTAAAAAGACTTTAGTGAAGTAATTGAAAGAGAATGCGAATAAAGAGTGGAAATGAATAAAAAGTGTTCCCCTCTTTTTTTATGTGAAGAGACGAGGGTACGCTTGTGAGAGAGGGCACAGTGCTGTACGCTTGGCTTTCGGTTATGCCCAAATTTCTTGAGCAGGCTCTGTCACCTATGTTCTGCCCCACCGTCTACCTTCACCCTATCCCTCTCCTCTCTACCCGCCTGTCACGTCTATCCCTTAATCCCCCCAGCCCACCCTTGTCTTTCTCTAGCCAGCTACAGCTGTTACCTCAGGAGGCTCAGCTGTTCCGCCAGAGTCAAAATTTCCGAGGGAACTTTACTTTACTCAACTCAACTCAGTTTTTTAAAATTTCTCCGTCCCTTTCTCCGTTCAAAAGGTCTAGTTCATGCATTTTACAAATGGCTGAACAGGGAATAAAAAAGATAGTCGAAAAGCGCTCTACGGCCTCTAGAAAAAAAAATGAAACCAAATCAGCACAGCTAGAGATGAAAATTTGCAAGTACTGCAAAATGATCTCTTTGAGCGAATTCCAGACGGTCACCTGTGAACGATGAGAAGATCTCACTTGTATCAGCTGTTCGAAATTGAGCTCTAAGGAGTCCTCATTTCTCCAGAAAACTAATTTACTTCACTGGTTTTGCCGTGACTGCGAAAAACCAACTCTTTTGGCTCGAAAAAGCCAGAAGTCGGTAAAAGAGCATGACAATGAGTCGAAATCGTTGAATCATGTAGTAAACTCCTTGAGTGATATGGTGCGCTCGTTGAGTGACAAATTGAGCTCGCTGTGCAATGAGCTGACTGAAGTGAAGTTTCAGCAGAAAAATACGGAAGAAATGGAAATTGAGAACAAGAGAGCTGACTTATCTGAAGTCGTGAGAGAACCAGGCGGAAAGGCACGGAAAATCAGGTCAATCACTACCAAACTGTCAAAACAACACCGGCCTCTCACGGTCAGTCAGAGGAGATGGAGAACAGGTAATTGGTAGGAATGATGTCCGTAAATCAAGGCCTGTAAATAATGTAGCAACTAACGGCATACATTAACGTGAAAGTGCACAAAAAGTTTTAAAATGTTTTTACACGAACTCTGATTCTGTTTTGAATAAAGAAAGTGAACTGTTAACAGTTATCGCAAACGAGAGTATGGACATTATTCGTATTCCAGAAACACTCCCTAAAAATCTCGGGGGGAAATTGTACCTGTTGAATGTCAGTTGCCAGGTTTTGATTGTTTTCATTACTTAGATGAAGAGCAGTGCAGTAGAGGTATAGCTTTGTCGCCTTTGTGGGTTAGAACCTCTTATGGGGCCCAGCAAGTTAAGTTATCTGCAGAGCATCAATCAGCTAGAGAATCAGAGTGGTGCGAACTTACTCCAAAAAGCCTATGATAGCCTCTTCCTAGGTGGTCCTTTATAGATCATCTAATAGCTCCTCTTATTACGATAAAGTACTTAACAGCCTTTTACCGAGCATGACTTTCAGTAGGTCGCATACGTTGATCGTTGTGACTGTAACCATCCAGAAATAGACTGGGCAGATGAATCTTCTCAAAGAGATGATAATCACCAATCATCCCTGTTCTTGGAGTCTGGGCGAGACTCATTTTTAATTCAAAACATTACCAAGCCAACACATTTCATGAGTAAATAGACCCCAAATATTCTAGATCTAGTGTTTACTAGTGAAAAATCAATGATAGATGAGCCACGAGGCTCCCGTTGGGCAAAAGCCATCTTCGATCATTGTTTTTCAGTGTTAAGTGCTGTGCAGAAAAGACGCATCGGAAGCGTGAACGTTTGAACTTTGCGAAAAGCGACTATGATAAACTCCGTGAAGCGGTGAATATTTCGGACTGTATTAAGGACATGAATGTGGCTGATTCATGGTCATTTCTCAAAGACACTGTTGTGTCTGCAGTTGATACCTGTGTACCTAAGATTACGCTTGGAGGAGTCAAAAAGTCCCACTTGATAAACAGTACAGTTAAAAGGGAACATCAAGACCAATAAAGAAGCCCACAAGCATTATTTACGAACTCGCAGCGATTCTGATTATAACCTGTATGCAAAAGCTCGAAATCAAGCTAAAAAAAGTCTGTCGCCCTGCAGTGAAAAACTTCGAAAAAAATATTGCTATAAGTGCAAAAAAAATCCGAAAGCCTTCTTTTTGTACGCTAGTTCGAAGTGTAAGACAAACGACGGTGTATCTGATTCAAAAGTAGACCAACGAAAGTTTTCCTGTGATGAGGGCAAGGCTAACGTTCTTAATCAGTTCTTCAGCAGTGAGGACCTGAACACAGTATTCCTCACACAGATGAGGACTTGAACAGGATTCCAGATATTGAGGAGCGCCCAGTCGGCTCTGAGTTAACAGGTTTTGAAATACACAAAGAAGAGGTTCTCACTTCTCAAGCGCCTGGTAGCTCTAAATACCAACAATCATGTGGACCTGACGGCTTCTATCCCAGATTGCTCGAAGAATTAGCAACCGTTTTGGCCAGCCCATTGACAATATTCTTTCAAAAACCTTGAACGAAGGAACTTTGCCGTCCGATTGGAAAGAAGTTCAAGTAACCCCATTGTTCAAAAAAAGTGACAAAAGTAGGAGCTATTTTTGTAACAATCTAGGTAACAATCGATCTAGGTAACTATCGCCCTGTCAGTCTGACAAGTGTTTTTTTGTAAAGTAATGTAGTCTGTTGTGAGAGATAGGATTATCGATCACCTGACTGTTCACCATCTCCTATCAGATTGTCTGCATGGGTTTATTCCCGGTAGATCCTGCACCACTGACTTATTGTCTACGTTGAACGATTGGACTCGCCTGCTGCACGAAAAGGAGCCAGTGGATGCATTGTACATCATTTTGCCAAAGCTTTGATAGTGTGCAGCATGGGCGGCTGTGTCGTTAAGTGAAGTCTTGAGGAATTGAAGGAAACGTGGAATGGAGGGAAGGAAAATGGATCAGAGATTTTCTAGTAGGTGGACAACGAGTCAATATTACCGGAACCGTGTCAGACAGGGCATCAGTGCGCAATGGCGTGCCACAAGGAAACGTTATTGGGCATATTTTATTTGTTGCTTTTAAAAACGATCTGCCAGAAGTAGTGTCCAGCGTGTGCTCCATGCATGCCGACGACACAAAATTTTATAATACAGTGAAGGATGCGTCAACTAAAGCGCAATTGCAAGATGATCTTGAATTGCATTGAATATAGTATCTTCGAAATTATAAACAATATAAAGAAAATGATCTAGGTAAACAAACAACAAAATGATCATAACGTAAGTAAATAATAACGTACCAAATTGCTGAACAATCTAGGGCAGGTTCTGGTCAGGGACTGAGTTTTTCCTAAGCTCGTCGACTCTGGTCCTACCTAAAAGGTACAAATAATATGTACACGGGAGAATAATGCTCCGTAGAAAATTCCTTACAGCTAGTGACACGAATATCAAACATACAATATAGGACCCCTAATAAAAATAGAATGATAACATAAATAAGAATGACTTAAAATATCAAATTATCGCCATAAATACGATGGAATAATAAAAATTAAAAATTATGTTATACGATGGTCAGCCAGGTTTGTCCAGATGTACTCCTAATATTTTTCGAATATTGGTATAGTTCGGCAAAAGCTTTTCTTTTATGCAAGGTTGAGTGAATATTCAGTGATAAACATGCATTGCCAATTCTAGTAACACAATTAAGTGACGTTTTAAACTGCCTAATTTTTTTCGTGTTTATGCCAAACCGAACATTCTGTCAACGTGATCCGCTATTCACGCGTTGAAGAGTTGTTAAAAAAATACAAACGTGGCTTCGAGATTCAAGTTCTGCAAATCACTCGTCAAAGACGCTTGTGCCATCGCAATACATGAATCTCGTCTCTGTTAAGGAAACGATTTACATACAAATGTCCCCTGAACAAACGTTGATAAACATTTCCCAATGATATATAACTGACTCTTGAATAGGTGTTCCAACATTTGGCCATGAGAACTAGGTATATTCAGGGCAAGTTTTCTATTCTCTGTAATTCTATTCTCTGTGTTCTATTCTATTAATGTGCAGTGCGATGAGATAAGTGGCATTACTGTGACGGAAAATAGAACAGAACTGTACTTCATTGTCCACGTAAATCCCTGAAATTTTATTCAACCATGATGTTTAAACTTGGTAAATAAACATTAGTGTATAACTTTCGAACTTCTCGAGAACTTACGATTGCACTGCTGAACTTACGATCATTTGAGAACTATCGTTGCGTATAACTTCCAGTCGTCGTATGGATACTTCGATTGAAGTAGCTTTCAAAAAACTTTCTAGAATACTGATCATCGTTGAGTCTTGAGGTGAATTGGGTGATTGAGTGGATTGAGATCAAGTGGTTAGGAGTGTATTTCTTCCTTTAATCAATTAGAGTAAATACGTAGGTTGGGGCTTAAAAGAAAGTGTGAAGACACTGAGTTAAAAGTTTATTGAGTGAATGAAGTCGAATCGGTAGACCAACACCTGCCAAGCATTGGTAGCCAGAAAATTATCATGAAATGAATCAATACCAGAATAAGACTGGATTGGAAACATTATTTTTAATATTAACGTAATTCTGGTATTAATAACAGTTCCACTAATGAGCTGTGAATGCAATTATCAGAATTTAATAATAGAGATAAGCTGCTCACCTCAGGCTCCCTCAATGACCGCCAGCCACAAAATGACGCTCTGGCACAACGCGGCCTGGCTTACGGTTCTCTAAACAAAAATCTCAATTTCTGATGGCAACATTAGAGGGTATTTTATTCATGTTAGTAAAATTTTTAATGTTAAGAAATTACATGAGTGACATTTGTACTATAGGAATTGATATTAATGCATTTTGTGACTGAATTTTATGTAATTATTTAATAGTGATATTAGCAAATTATATGGGGAATTTTAGGTATTGAGGTAAACAGTGGTAACAGACATCAGTGATCAACGAGTTCGCTGATTTAATAAACAAAATTGGATTATGAAGTTCACAGAAAATTATTAAAGCGAAATGAACTCGAGTCGCTTCATCGCATTGCTGTTGCTGGAAATTACACTACAAATTTCATATGTTGGAAATTGAGGATTTTATTCTTGGGATTTTTAAAAGCACATTAGTGAGTTTTTGTTTAATCATTATATACATGCGATGATGCATTGCCGGAGTACCTTACATTCTAGAGTTATGGTGCCTCTAAATATTTTGTTAGTGTTTTTTAGCGCATTTTCTCTTTATAGAAAAAATTCACTATTGTGCTCGCCATGTCCGTCTGTACGTCGGTCTGTCCGTCTGTCCTTCCGTGACTTCACGTTTTCGTCGATTTTAAGAAGCGGGCATGCCTGTATCAAAGATACGACATCTCTAGCTCTAATGCACTGTACTAATCGCAATGAAAACTGATTTATGCACGAGAAAATGCGCTCTGTCACTCACTTCCGTGAGTACTGAGTTATATTTTTCTAGAAATTGTGTTTATCCTTCATGACAAACTGCAGCAATCATTGACCGGACTTGCTCAGTTGAACGGAATGACCATAGAACGCGAAGCTGTGCTCATGCAGTTATATTTCGATTGATCGTTCAACAATAAATATTTTATGCAGGCGTAACATATGTTAGTGCCCAAGAAATAACTCACAACCTACATATGAAGTATCAGTAAAATTTTACACATGGAATTTTTTAAAATCTTCCCATCCTGCAGTAGTGCTTTGGTAGTGATTTTTTTCAACTTTTACCTCATCCATAAACTTTAAGTTGAAATTCATTCTGCATTCATTCATAAACTGCTATTCCGGAAGCTCATCGATAAGTGCTTTTTATGCAATCAAATTAATGGATTGACCTGAAATTAATTTCAAATTTTTTGATCATGAACTTAGGTATATTCCCACTTCCAAGAGGTTAACAAATAAAAAAAAAATCATCATTGCTTGAACCGTATAACTTGGGAAAAAATGCGCCTCAGAAGTATTGCCACAGTCTAAACTTGAGTTTAATATTTAGAAAAATCGCGCGCGAAGTTTCATTGAAATCTGCATGTACATTAGCGCAAGAAACACTCGTGATTCCTTCGCTGCGAATTCAAGGACGTATCGCTGAATAATTTGCGAGTATGAGTTGAGCCGAAACTTCTACGATCTTAATTGATCTTAATGTTCTAAGATCTTAATTTGACCGGAATACTGCTATGAGTTTATTTCCAGAATTTCATATTCATGTTTCCGCAGTTTTCATGAAATTCTCGGTCCCTGAAATAAGCCTGAGTAAAATCCACAATACTGGCCGCAGAAATGCTCGACGTTGATGATGTTTTTCAACATTCAATCCAGTGAGGATATGAAGAATTGAACAGTCAATAGAGCTTAATGAGGGTGCATAAATTATGCGTACAGGGAACAGCATTCGGATTTATCTTAAAATAATTCGCATTCCTAGAGATTAAACATATAACATGAGACCTAAATAGAAATTGAAAAGTACATTAACTCCGAACCAAGTTATTAATTTGGTAATTTTATATATTGCATTATGTACTGAGGATGAATGAACCAATGTTTTGTGTCAAATGTTCCGCTTTGTGTCCCAACAGATCTTATTCTAACAGGTCAAGGTGAGAAAGAGAGATAGTAGATTGTAGGTAGCATGCTTGAATGTCTCACTAATAAATATTCTAATACGAATCTTCCTATATTGCTTCATGACTACATTTTGAAAAATCATGTTCAAGTAGTCGTAAATTGTGAAATGAAATTAATGATCACCCTAGACACGCTCCCTTACCTACAGGTCCCAGAGTGGCACCTCCATGCATCTCACCAGCTCCCATTTCTCGTACATTAATTTCAAGGGCATGGAGTGGACGGCGGGTTTTTGCCATTTATATATAGAAGCTGTGCTGACTGCTGAGTTCCTTTGCAGTTACTTGAATGCCACAGTGGCAGACGGAGGTTGAACATTGACTCTCTAACAAACCGTTTCTTCCTCCAAGTTGCAGTTATAAATTTTTCATGAGAAGACAGTAAGCGGATATATTAGTCGTATATTGACTTCTACAATTCGAGAACGTGAATATTAACTTATTTCAATTTTGAAGATGAACTCTTGGAAATGCTTATGAAAACAGTCATAAAAACTAAATTAGAAACTGAAATGACGTAAGACATAAGTCGATTTTAACCCCAGCTTACTTCGTTCTAATCGTATGGCAGAACTAAGGAGTGATTCGATAAAGTTTCTATGTTTAAGGAGTTACCATTTCTGTTTACGAGGCTCTCTTTCTTTGGACCCAAATTTGCTCCCATATGGCGACAGTTAGTCATTGTGTTATTCGATTGCCTTAGGTGCAGAGTGCCGTGTACAGATTTTTTCTATTTAATTGTTTTGTCCCTCGAATTTTATATTTCAATTAATGAGCTTCATCTAGAAAGTGTGATTTATGCAAATCCTAATAAAGCAAGGGGAACTTCATTCAATTACCTATTATTCACTCTGCTATCAATCAAGATGGCCTTCATTAAAAGCTAAAACCATCTGAAATTTCATTGGCTGACAGCAGCGTCAGATAACAAGGGAGAATATGATGTTTTTTTTAACCGTCAATGAAGTGAATGTTTGGGAACGTTTATATATATATATGCGGTCTGTGTCGCGACTGCACACTCTACCTCAAACGAAATATGGCTGACTGGCTGAAAATTTTTGATCCCATTATTTGACCTAAAAATTACTTATTCATAAATGAAGAACGCTCACGATAAGTACACGACCGCGTTCGTTTTAGTCCATGGCGTTTCGGGAAAAAAATAATGTTCAACGATGATAATTAATGGATGAGAAAAAATTCTCATCGAAAAAACACATCCGTCATCTTCGAGAGAATCTTCTGTGGTTGAAATACACCAGTGATTCAACCACAATTATTTATTATGATGTAGATTGTAGAGGTCTGGCATCTCTTTTTTGTAATAGAGCGTCAATTATTTTCGGAAACAACATATATAAGACGCTCTCTATAACATTTCTTATCGAAATTGGTGATTTGGCCATGAGATTAAGAACGGAATCTTCATTTCAGTTACATGCGCAATTAATAACAAAGATTTGCCGCCGAACTGGTCCAATCTCGCCTTGCAGCATTCATTGAAAAATATACTCTTTTAGTTTCATTTTGTGGTCCGCTTGTATAGACGTACATTTTTTCATATTGCTTATAAAATTTTTTAGCAAGTTAGGTGCTGTAGTTCCCCGGGAAAGGTTTGCAGGATATTGAAATGAAGTTTTCGACAAACGAAACGGGTCAAGAAAAAAATTACAGTAATCCTATATTTAATTATCAAGATTTCTCTGCACTGGAAAATACGACCATTCTCATACCCACTTGTAACTGAAATTTTACGTAATGAGGTTTTCTATTTAATTGAATTTAACGAAATTAAAGGGCATGCAAATTATCCTATCTGAAACCTTGGCACAACCAATTTAAAACTGCTCGTTCCAAGCTGCATTGTAGTCATAAGTTATTGCTACGTGCAACATCTTTAATAAACACGTAACCAATCTTTGGTGGATTAATTAGCAAATTTAATTGACGAATCCCAATGCAAAATTATCCGGCCAACCTATGATTCGCAATAATGAATCTCACCAATTTACATGATTTATATGTATTTCCAATCATTACAAATTTAAACCGATCAGATTAATCTTCAACAGAAGTCAAATTTTATATGCACTTCTGTTCATCTTCGAATCTTCTGTTTGTCTTCTGTTCTGTTCCTTCGAATCTAATTTCGCATGAAAACTTTTGACTCAGTTTTTCCACGAAGAATCGTCCTTACGACAAAATATACTTTCTTTTTCTGCAGCAATATAAATATTTATGCAATGGATCCTAGTATTGGGAAAGGACCAGTCACAAATAATGCCACACATCCTGAAGCAATTGAACGTGGTGGTTTGACCCATTCAGCCCTGGAAGCTCTGCTGGTGGATCCAGGGACATTAGCCGGACATTTAATCCCGGGCTTGCTGTTTATGTTCTTCGGCTTGTTTTGGACCTACAGTATCCTTCACAAGTATCACGTTGCCAGGAGAGGAGCCATTCTGCTTGGCAAAGGAAGTTATAAATCAAATTACAGAAACACACTCTTCTCGACGTATTACGCTTGTCACTGCACCAACGTTTCCCTGGACGCATACTTCTTGTTCATCTGCACAAGTCTCGGTTTTATTGGTGAGTAAGGATGCATTCGAATTATTCTTTATTTTTCTTCCTGGTCCTGCTTTTCTAGCTCAATTTATTGATTGTTTAATTTAATTGTCTTCAATTTGAATATACGTACACCAGTGATGATAAAATGTCCAAAGCTGTAATGAAAAAGGTCGTAAAAATTACATGATTCTGATCATGAAATGGTCGAGGCCAATGTTTTTCAAATATTCATAGGTATATACTATTTCCATTGTTTCAAAGCCTGTTTTAAATCAGGCCAGTTCCTAACAAAAACAAAGGGTGAAAAAAATATATAGGGATTATGTCACAAGTTCAATATATTTATTGAAATAGGTAACTGGCACAAAGAAGTAGGCGAAACCTATAGCTCATGGCTCCGGTTGGTAGGAACTTCTCACATCGTACGCTCCCAGCCACTGACGATCGTGAAACTGTGGGAGCACAAGAGGAATTCAATTTCAGTTATAAGTTAGATACAGTTATCGTTATAGTTATAAGGTAATAGTTATAAGTCATCAGTTATAAGTTATCAGCTATAGTTATAAGTTATCAGTTATAGTTATAAGTTACAAGTTATAGTTATAAAGTTATCAGTTATAGTTATACGTTATTAGTTATAGGTTTTAGCGGATGTAAGGTTCTTTTAGGATTACTCAGGACAGCAGCACGTACGCCCCGATCATGAGCTCGGCTACGCCGCTGCATATGGTCACGTCACATGCATATGGGTTGCATCGTTTTAGACAGTTACTGATCCGTAATCCTATCTATGTATGATATCTATTCTGAACCTGCGTATCAACGTATCGCTGCGTAAATAATCAACGACAAATTACAAATTTCTTTGAACAAAATTTCGCCTATAAAATATCATAAAAAAGTCAAGTCATAAACAGCCGTCTGTTTGCAGGTGAATTCATCGCGGGATTCAGAGGGGGTGAATTCGTTGTGATGTCCAACACGCATCACATGTGCATGTATTTCTTCTACGGGCTTACTGCCTTCATCCACATCCTCATGTGTCGCAAGTAAATCGCGTCGTCCTAATCTAGAGTATTGAAAAGTTAATGAAAATTTTAATTTCTGCTCAAAAATTTTAAGCGTGAAAGAAAATTTCTTCTATACTTTAAATCATTACGTAAAGTTGAATGATGCATATCATTTGTTTACCGAATCTGTATATAAATGAAATATTTCAAAATAAGGAAGTTTCAAATGAATTCACATCAACGCACGTCGGTTTGACGTCATGTAGCTTCTATTCTAGGCTGGCTGAGCATAAAGGGAGGGTTTACTAAACCTGGTTCTTGAATCCTCTTGCTCTAGTCCACTCGAATTGTACACATATTTATTAGTCTACTTGAAGTGATGATGAACCTGGCAAATATTTCGATTAATATAAAAACTATGTTCTTAGTTTCTAAATTTCACATTAAAAATGAATTGATTCTGCTCAATCATCCATTAATTTTAATTTGGAACTTATCATTACTTATCAGGCATCCCATCCCTGCTGACTCCGACTACGCGACGATGATCGTCGCATGCATAGTGGAGGCGCTGCTGTTCCAGGGCCACATCAACGGTCGGGGACCGATCAATGCCAAGGTCAATTAGTTAAACGTAAATAATGGTTAATTTCGTATCATTGATCCTGTTTGCTCTCTGCACTTTACCCTCATCTCTTCACTGAACTTTCCTTAAATTTTTCTTATGTCATATTGCCGTTTTGGCTCGCATGCTTAACAGTTCTTAACGCTTTAAACAAATTTTAGGAGCTGCAAAAGCTTGATATTACCACAATTCTCACCTCTTTTAAAATAAGACGTTTGTATGACATTTCCCATAGATACACATGTTGCTGGTGTACACTATTATGGTGACGGTCGGTTTTCTGGTGCTGGAGATGGCTGCGCGGCGCAATGTTTTGATCAGCCTTGCGAGAGCTTCTAGTATTTTAGTGCAGGTAAAACTAATATTAACATGTAAGAACACAAAATAAAAAGTCAACATCACATAAAGTTTGTCAAACTTCTCCCCTCATGTTCGTCAATCTTCAAACTTCAGGTTCGCTTCTGATCATTGAGCTATATTTCAAAATACAACACAAATGCACGCTAAGCGTCAATCTTGCACATGCAAAAAACTCCAAATTTGATCCCGTTCTTCAACCATATTATTATTTTTACTGAAATCTTCCTAAATTGTCGTTGGCGCCGTATAATAGCAGGTTTCATTGTACGGTCACTGCAAAAAAATAAAAAAAATCTTGAAAATCTCGTTTACACAGCTTCAAGTTTCATCTAATAAAGACCAATAATTATGTCTGTCTTTTAAATCAAAAACCTTCGTCTATACATACAATCTGTCGGCATGGACGCCCTCAACACTATCCTTATGTGCATTTACAGGGCCAGTGGTTCTGCACGGGAGGCTTCATCTTGTACCCTCCATCGTTCATGCCAACATGGGATGACAACAGCCGACCACAAATGGCGCTGGTAACAACGCTATTTGCCGTCAATATTGCGTTAGCCATTATTGGAACATTACTGATTAATTATTTAATTTTTTTGCGAGTAAATTGCATGGATGCGCAAACCATAAGTCGGATTTTAAACAAGTCAGATATTCGGAGTCAAAATTCATTGCCGAATATTGATCCGGGGAAGCCGCTGATTTCAGACTCCGATGACGAATGCTAGGAAAAGCTTGGAGCTCAAGTTTCTGTCGGACCAACACCTCCATTTTCTGCTCAATATCATCCATCTCTAAATCTGAATTCATCCCAACCGGAATATCAACTCGCTGATATATTTCGTTTTGTACAACTCTCGTTCTACTGTGTGCAATTCATGAAGTTGGTACTACATTAAACTTCGTAGAAACGATTCCATGACCACGTTTAGCTAACTATTGATCAGTCGGAGTGCAGAAGTTCTGAATGAATATGCTCTCGGTCAAAATTCCGCATTCACCAAGAAACTGGTTGAGTTTCAGTTTACTCATCTTTAAAGAGGTTTATACCTCGTAATTAAGAACATGAACATTATGAAATCTTTTCTTACAGAGACAAAATATTTTCAAGCCCAATCAATTTGAACGCACTTCATTCCACTGATTTTTCTTAATTTAATCTCCATTGTATATTAACTTTTTTTTGTTTCATTAAACTGGAGTTGAATACTGCAGCTTTCGGTAAGTGAATAAAAGATAAATCGAGAGTCACGTCGATCATTTCAGTTCGTTTGTTTCTTAACAATGACTCTCCAACATTGTTTAACTATCCTCAATATAAGACAGTATATATAACCTAAAACTATGGCATGCATTATACAAGGTAGCGCCCTGCCAAATTTACCAAGCATGCACAACGCAAGATTCTACTAGAATTTTTTCCATTCAAATGAGAGACATAATACTCTTCGTTCTCGTACAGTTTTCTGTCGCCCTCGACCACATAACTGACATTGCAAGCTAATTTCTGGAGCAAAGTCTTAAATGGTATAATGCACAAAACGAAAACTCTTGGTACAAATTATATTTAAGAAAACTGATATGTAATTGACGGAAAATATGACAAGATCATATTTTGCAAGGTAAATAATTGTAAAATAGGATTGATAGAGATGACAGAATGTTAGTTACCACATTGCAATAAAATTATTCATTATCGTTTGAAAAAAATTTTTTGGGAAAATTTGTTGAGAAGTCACAGAAATTCTAATTCAATGTACTGGTTTTAAAATTTTTAAAGTAAATATTACACACTGAATTGCTAGAAAATGATTAAACGTGACTCAATAATATTGATACCATTGAATTCATAGTGTTACTGAGATGATTTTTTATCGAAATATATATTTTTAAATAGTTAGTTAGTTTCTCAATTATTCATCACTCACAAGGGGCGGAAGGTCTCAGATGTCCAGCCCGCTGAAGCTGGCTCGAAGGAAGCAGCGTTAGCATCTCAAAAGAGACGAAGTGACAAGGAGGGACAGGTGAAAAGCAACAGAAACGAAGACACTAGAACAAGAGGTCGCTTACACGGGACGTCGGTCGCCCGCACGAGAGAGACAGAGAAGATAAATTTAAGGAATCCTACCTACATAATAACTTAATGTAAGGAATCCTACCTACATAATAACTTAACCCCACAACTGAGGCCTACAGTCAGACACCGCGAGCTCAACGGTGGGGCGCTCAGGAACAATCCCCCTAGGAACGCGAAATCCCATAGAACTTCTGACGAGCACAGACACCCGTCAGAAGTCCCCCCTGAGGGGTTTTTAAATATATTTTATGCTAATATGTAACGTATATTTTTTTTAGCCACCGTTAGAACCAACTTGTCGTCACTAAAATTTAATCTTTTAATACACAAATTCACAAAGAGCATACATAAAAAAATTGTAATCGATACTCAGGTGATTTCAGCAATAACTTCTTTCAGAATTTATATTTTTCTTTTATACACATAAAGCATTTACTCATAATGCAGATGGTCTGATCTTTATTTTTACTATTAAATTTAGATACAAATACAGCAAATTCATCTACTTCTCAAAAATTCCAAGTGTGTTAATTATTATTTTTCAGAAATGTGAAACAAATTATTGAAATTTGTTGAATTTCACAGAAATGTGAAATTATTATTTTTCAGAAAAATTTAATGGCTTATAGAAATATCTACTCCTGCCTCGAATGCCAATAATTGCTCTTCTGGTGACGAACTTTTTTTTAAAGCAGTATACGCCACGGAAAACTGAGAGTGCAATGCAAATAGTAAAATTGCAGGGTCATATTGTCGAAATAGTGAAACACTATTTCACCCAGAGCACGAATAGAGTGTTAATGCGATACGCCCATTTGCCAAGACAGACTGCACCCTGCTGATAACCCGCATACTCATTTCTTTCAGTTTGTGAGCCATTGGAAAATTATTGTGTCTGATAACGTAGCATAAGGAACTTTATACATGCCAACATTCCATGGTTGCAGCATTAGAGATAACATTAATATTGCTTCTATGTGGGACCATGGCTTCCCGATCATTCAATGCTGCACTTGGGGAGCAACAGTTTGACCAACTTTTATTTCATTGAATACGAGATTTTTTATTCTAATTAATTTGTTTGTGTTTTTATGTATTCATTGATCAACATTTAAGAAAGACTCAACTGATTATGACTTATATCTTGGCTTCCTATGAAAACAGTCAAATCTCGTTGTAGTTCAAAATTAAAATAGTGAATTAAATGACTAGATGTTAGAGTAAAAAAAAAGTTGGCGGGCTTTGCAGTGAACAATTTTGTTATTTTTTGCATTGTTAATGTATATTTTCTTGTTTGAGGTTAAAACCAGTTATAAATAATCTTAATTCAAGTTTACATATAGAATAGTACATGCCTAAAAATTGTAACAGTTAAAGCCATTGTTTTGATTCAGAATTCTTTCGAGTGGAACAATCAACGCGTATTTCATTCGTGACAGCGGAAAAAGTCAGTAGAGAGAATAGATTTCATTTCTAGTCCACAGTTACGGCCAAAAGGCTTTCTTGGGAATGTTTTGAAATACAAATTCACACAACCTAACGCTTAAATCGATACATGATTCTGTTCGATTTAGTTTACCTTGAATACATGATTCTGTTTGAAATAGTTTTCCTTCGGCTAAGTGACCCACTGCATCTACTGAAATAATCCAATTGCCTATCTACGTACAACCTTGAGCTCACGAAATTCTCGCCGCAATGTTGGCAATCATTAACAAGCATTCAGAAAAAGAATGGCTCATACTGTTCAAATAGTGAGAGATGTGCACGTGACAATCATACATACTTTACCATATTAAACTACGTCAAGATGACCCAAACAATGGCAAAAGTGCATCGGTATTTGGACAAAGATTCCCTCGTTTCTGCGAGTGTGGAATCAAGAATATTCGTCACGACATAGGTAACTCTGTCCAAAAGTTGAACAAGCCGACATCACATCAACGCTGGACAATCATCACTTCGTACAGAGAAATTTCTGCACCAGCTACCTTGCCGCTAGATTCCATCGACATTCTGACCTTGCTGTGAGACGTCGCCGACGTTCTATCTCTACTGTAAAAAACAAATATGATGTTTGAACACCAACGTAAAAAAAGGGTCCGACCTATATTTTAGGGGCCAGCTGGTCGTAAATTATAGATTATACTGCCTCTTTTTCATGCGACTCGCTTGGAATGCAAAAATGTAAAAAAGGGACGTAGAATGTAAAAAAGATCAACCCGCTATTCTAGCACCGTGTCAGTGTAAGGAGTCGTATCGACTAAACTACAGAATGTGGACAATATTAATTTAAACATGTCGAGTATGAAAAGTGAAGAATGATTTGTAGGGAAAATGCACTTGTTATTGTTATACGAAATATAAAAAAAAAGAGATTAAAAATGAGTTATTTAGTTGAAAAAGAATTTCCTTCTATACGTAATACTCCTAAATTTTGCAATTTTTGATGATTCCTCTCCCGCAAAAAATTTTATTACCAGTTAATATCCCAATAAAATAGAATGATATAAATGCCTGCCTAAATATCAGCTTAATAATACTTCTGGTGCCAGGCTTCGAACACATCCACTAAATACTTTTTTAAACCTTTTATTTATACAGACACTTTAAAATTCAAAACACCAAACTGTTGATTCTGATAATTCACTGGTTATAATTGTAGTGACTCGTATTCATAACTCGCACTATCATTTCTTGTCAATATCGTAGTTTATATTTCAGACCTTCAAACTCGTGATCGTCAACTTCTGTAACTAATTAATTTTTTAATTAATTATTTTGAACTGGATGGGTTCTTTCGTATTTCATCATTTCACTATTAAATAAATATAAAATATTCGGTCATTAAATCTGCTAAATTCTTTAGCACGGATAACACTCGTGTAATTTCTGAAGGGTTAAAATTCAGTAAACGACGAAATTATTTTAATATTTTAAATCGTACCATCAGTTATTGTGAGTTCGTTTTAGACCGCGCCAGCGGGTAAATATTAGCCAATCGCATGTTAGCATCATTTGCTTGACGACGTCGTGGGGCTAAGGGGTAAAATGCTAAGTTCCACTAGAATTCAATTACTACAATGTAAAGAAACATTTCAGTATAACTGTCATAACTAATACTAATTAAGTTCTCTGTATTTTTAATATTGTTATTTTTTGATATTGTTATTTTATTCTGTTATCTTTTGATATAGTCATTATAGTGGGGACCTCATTGAAGTATACAAGTTTACTCATGGTTTATACAAGGTCCCCAAAGGATTACTAGAATTTCAAACATGAACCAACACCAGGGGCCACGGCTATAAACTAAAAAAACTGAGCTGCAACTTATCCACGCGAAAACATTTCTCCTCGCTTCGAATCACCAACATGTGGAACAGCCTCCCCGATGACATCGTTGGCGCTCCAAGTATGAACGCGTTCACGAACAGACTACACAAAGCTACGGAAAAATATATGTTTAGACTTGCAATGCCAAGCACCATATCGAACCCGGTGGAAGTCTAGTAGCTATTTCAAACTATCGATAGCCCTGAAAAGATCTGGTCAAATGACACTGTAACGGGCTAGGTATTGGCCTCGTTTTGTATACTAGGTTAGAAGCCGCCGCACTCCTCGAAAGACGACTGCAGAGAAAAACTGTCTTCGGATGTAGTTGACTCGATCTAGGAGAAAGCGACTTCATCTCTGCCAGTGTTGTGCCCATTTGCTGTATTAACATTCTAAGACATCTGGACCTCTTAAGTGCAATTGTATTATGCCAGTTTTCATTTATTATTGGGAGTATCTTCAGTAAACATCGGGCTGAACTTCATCCTTGCTCGTTTCAATCTTCCACGAACCGTAGGTCCTGCTGGCGGAGACCTTAGTGTTTAGATGTAGTAGTTCACTGCTACATATTTTATGGTGGCCAGTATGGGGATTCTTACCAGTATGGGGACACTAAAGAGGTCCAGATGTCTTAGAATGCTAATACAGCAAATGGGCACAACACTGGCCAAGATGAAGGCGCTTCTTCCTAGATCGAGTCAAACTACATCAGAAGACAGTTCGGCTAGCACATTTTTCTCTGCAGTCGTCTTTAGAGGAGTGCGGCGGCTTCAAACCTAGTACACAAAACGAGGCCAATATCTGGCCCGTTACAACACGATTTTATATATTCTATGAATAAGTCACGAAAAG